TCGTGATTGGATTGGGATCGGATATTGAGTGGTGTAACACGTTCATAACAGTTTTTGATTGCTCCAAAAGTAGTTCGCAGTTAATATCCTTCTTATTCTATCCACACAGACTGATACCTATTTCTTTTGATTAATCTGCATATTATCAGTAATTACTTATTATAAATATCATATATAATAATTATGTAAGAAAGCATTAAACGCCTATGATCAGCAATTCCATAATCCCCTTTCAAACGCTCATCTAGAAGAACGCTGGAGTTTCGCCCCTTCGTTATAGACATCCCCAGGTGCCGCACTGCACGATTTGTTTCGGCGTTTCTTATAAAAACAGCAAAGGAGTGAAACTCCTTGCCCCTTCCATCTTCCCTAAACAGTATAATATAGGCTCATTTAAGCTGCGGTTAAACAGGCTTCTCCTGGACAGGCGTACCCTCCAATAGGCCACATCTCACTTAACATCAGGTGGGATTGTGGCCAAACAAACGTCTGTCCAGTTATGTATTTTAAAAAAAAGCGTATCAGGCGCAGAAATGTGTGTTCTATTATCCATGACTCAATGGTAAATTATGAGACATCAAACAATAAAAGATTAATTTTTGTACCTTCTAAATACTTACAAATAAAAGCATAGCTTTATTGATTTCGAAAGATCTCAGTGTTAACATTTTTAACAATATTTTCCTTCAATTATTTTGAAATCCATTAACAACGGCAAAGTCTCAGAGAATCCAATATCAATTAGGAAGTTAATTACTGGTTTAACCAAAGTTATCTCGTTGCATGTTTTCTTAACGTTTATATTTTCTCACTTTTTGACGCATTACAATTCAGTGGAATAAATGTCAGCAAATTCGAGAGGTTAATTCGGCATCTCTTATGTTAAGATCCAGAATCGAGACTTAACGATAAGTGACTCCCGTAAGTCAAAAACGTGTTGGAATTCGACATACTGGAATCATGATTTGCGGTAAGTCTCGACTCGAATCGTAGACCCAACCGACTAGATCTTGTATAAGGCACAGAAGCTATCTAATAAATTCTAGCGAGCTAGCCACCAACTTGGTTATAACGAGGATTTAACAGTGAAACAGATACTAAAATCTGACGCAAAGATTCTTAAATTGCAGCGGCAATGGATTGTTATTATAAATCAGCATTGGTATATGTATTACAGTGTGAAACTTATTTAAAACATGATTTGAGAATGTAAATTGCCTTTAGGTGAATTTAATCTTCATCTATCATCTTATGACTTATTAATTTGTAGTGATTATACATAACTTATATTATAGACTCTAAACACCTTTTATAAGCCGTCTGAATATTGCTGGTATATCACAATCAAATATTATCTTCAGCTCAATTTCTGAAGTTTATCGAAAATGGTATGAACAACTAATTATAGAAATACTTCTTGTAATTCATTCGATATTATCTATGATTGGATTATGTCACTTTAGTTTATAATTGTACAATAATCTATTGTTTAGTTAATACCCTAAGAATGATTGTCGTGTGTGAAAGTTATTAACTGATTACGTGTTATTTCAAGGAATTGCGAATTACGTGTTATTTAACAATAGGAAACAATTATGCAACAGTATAATAAATACTTCATAGTTTAAAGGATTACGCTAAGAGTGATAAATACAAAAATTTATTTACTTCAAGCTTTACTTATATTTTAATATTAACGTTGAATAACTCAAAAATATTTGCTTCTTATATACCAATATTTTCAATACGACAAGGGTCGATCGATATCTAGCTATATGTCACACGAAAAACATTTAAAAAAAAAGTTCAACTAGAACAACAAAACAATATTTCTTACCGCCCATTCTATCCACTTTAAGATTTTGTTCTATCTTAAGTTGCTTACCACAAGTTAACACTTCAAACATCGTTGGACCAACAGTCATTTGTCCTAAACGCGACGTAGCCAAAGATTATGGGATAAAAGTTAGAAGCTAACAATTTGTCAAGATGCTCTTTGGGGCAAAAACATCGTGCCTAGAATTATTTACGTAGCGCCGCGAACGTCGATCGACTGTATGCGTCTGGCGTGCTACGACGGAGACGCTCTCATTGTAACTGCTGGACGTCGGCGTCGGGAACACTGACTGAAACTTGACGGACGTTGACGGATCACGAAAACCATGATTAGGATGTTCCAAGGCTTGACATATCCGTTAAACCTTCCTTTATATTACATACATGTGTAATAATTTTACATAAAACATTTGTCTGATAACAACATAATCAAATTCACATGACACACTTTTAAAAGCTGAACACGGTCACATCTCTTTTAGTGATATGTTCTCATTTACATTGCAAATGCTTACCTCTGGCGTATTTTTTACATTGACAAAGGAAATCCAGCTCACGGGTACTGAAAAATTTATGGCTACTATACGTTTTAGAGATTTAAAGCTAAATTGGAGCTGTGAATCACTCTGTGTCCTGTAAGGTTTAATGAGTTTATTTCCAGGCGTGGCTAAGAATAGAATACTTATAAAAGAGGTTTTAGCTTTCTCGTAAATTCAATTGATCGAATTAATAACCATAATAAACCTATAGCAATGAAGGTTTTATTATTAAATCAATTTATTCTGTTAATAATTTAGTTTTTAAAAGAATATTAAGAAACATTTAAGTACTCGGAAACTTTGAATTATTTCTTTTGATTCAGAGTTTTCCAATAATTTGTTAATGATGTCTATATATATTTTTTAATTCCCAATTATACTCTAAGTTAAATAAAAACAAAAAGTTCACGAGTAAATCGTTTTCATTGGTAAAATATTCAACCTTGTAAGAATTAATTATTTCATTCGTAAAATTATAATAAAATATATTTTTGCAGTACAAGAACGTGACCTAACTTAAAACCAAACCATTTCACGATTGTCCATGCGTTAAATCTTAATTTCCGAGTGGAAAACTCGTAGATATTTTCTTTTATCAAGCGAAAGGCTTTTACCTGATTTTTACAAAAGGAATATTTAGTCAATTATTTTACCAGAGTAATTTTTCATCCTGGTACATTTATTTTGTTAAAAATAATTTAATAAAATATGTATTAATGTCGAGCTTTTTAAATACATTAAAAAATAAACCTGGAAGAATAGGAATAATTTAAGTGTTTTATGTGAGTTAGCAAAGTTCATAGTAAAGTTTTTCCGCGTGATTTGCCCATTCTTGCATTCAAATCTTAAGAAAATATGACATTAAAAGTCAGAAAAGATAAATTTGGAGGTTGTGTAATTTAAGCACCGTAACAGCGCAGTGTGGTTCTGTATCATTCTTTTTTTTCCACTTAGAGTTTGCAAGTGTTTGAAACGAAAAGCTGGTGTCAAAGTCAAAGTGTCAACACTGGTTCTAGAACAAAGTACCACTAAAGGTCCATCCTATATTTTATTTAGTGCGCGATGATCTATAAATTCGAAGCCGAACATAGGATATCCTTTAATTTACTTAAAAATAATGTGAACATAATATTATTCAGTATACTATATCATAAATCCTAAATAAATCAAACATCATAGTTTTATTTAACAGGAGGTAAATTGGCAGGACGCTAAAATATTATATTAGTAAATACATATAAAATTATAGTAATTATTGTATGGAATTAAAGGTTTTAAATATTAAGTTGAGCACTTTAACAAACTAATAAAATAGAACAGTGCAGAGACAAATTAAAAAAAGAAGAAATTATAATATGTACCTACAAATGGAGTTTAACTGCTCATAATACCCTAAGTCTTCTTATTTTCAAGCCACGGCTGTTTAACATACATTTTCCATCAAATTAATTTATAATCGTAATTCCTAGAACTCTGTTGTTTGCAAAGAATTATTAAATTTTATAATAAATATATGTTTCATTAAAGTAAGAATTTTATAAAATTTGTATAAAAGGCTTAAAATACGAATATATGTGTAAATAATTATAATTGTTACTTGTTTGAAAATCACAAGTGACTATAATTATTTGCCATTCAATTCCCCTTTTAAACATCTCTGTGATCTCACGTATTATGTAAATTAGAATTCGGGAATAGGCTAATCAAGAAATCAAAATAACGTCTTTTCAAAGCTAGTTGCGTTTCATGTGTAACATCGAATTACACGACCTGTGAAATTAGTATCATTAACTTAATCTACGCTCTACGCATCAGGGCGTTCTACGATGCCGTGATACGAATTGTATGTAGACATGGCCCAGCCCACAATTTAAGCTACATACAATTGTTTTCTTCCTTCTTTCTAGATCTTATTTAGAAATAGGTATAAAGTTTATAGTATGAGTCTTTATTGGGTAACGAATGTGACGTGAATAATTATATTTGTATTTATGTATTTAATTTTATTTGGTAGTTCATAACTACATTTTAAGGCTGCTCCAATTCAGCTTAAAATTCGATGTCAGTAAATGAGGTATAAATAAAACAATACCAACTATTATAACTAATAAAAGTTACCTAAAAGTTTAGTTTTAGTTTCCTAAAAGTATTTCTATTTACCATAACAATCATCATAACATACGTTTAAAGTACGTTGCAAAAATTTAACTATAATAAAGAGTCCATTGGTTTACGATTTTTTTATTTTTCTGTAACACTAAAATTAGTTCCACTGCGATATAATTAATCAAATATTATGACCGAGTAATTTCTGAGTGTTAATTTAAGCTATTTCAAAAGATGTATGTATCTCTGTGTGAACGGTGGTGTGGTGAAATGTCAGTCAGTTATCAACTGACACTTGACAGTTGACACCGTCACAATTTGATTGCCCGGTGGCCGCTGCTTGCTGAATGCTTCTTGCCGGCTATTGCAGTAACTTGAATAAAATTAGTATTTAATTTATTCTATTCATGGTTATAACAGTAATGTATGAAATAAAATGTGTTGAATGAAGTGACTTCTACTAGTGGATTTATTTTTATAAGAAAATATTCTGATCAGAATACAATTATAGTAAAAAATATGTATGGGATAGAAGCCTGCACGATATTCTTATTTATAATCAACTATGTGACTGGGTTGGGCGAAATAATATATGCCGTTAATGCTGGAGGACCGGCACATACCGATATTTATGGTATTCACTATGAGAAGGATCCATTACAAGGAAGAATTGGTACTGCTTCGGACTATGGCAAGCAGTTTGTCATGATCGGCAGAGTGAATTCTAAAGATGAAATATTATATCAAACGGAACGTTATCATCATAGCACGTTCGGGTACGATATTCCAGCAAATAAAGATGGTGACTATGTCTTAGTGCTTAAATTCAGTGAAGTCTACTTCAATGCTCCAAATATGAAAGTCTTTGATGTTGTGTTAAATGGGGACCATACCATCGTAGCTGACTTAGATATTTTTGATAAAGTTGGCCGAGGTGTTGCACATGATGAGTATATTCCATACTCAATAAATAATGGTAAACTTTATTACAATGATGAAGAATCTGACATAAGAGGAGGTAAAATCAAAGTTGAATTTATTAAAGGATACAGGGATAATCCTAAAATTAATGCCTTATATGTTATGAGGGGAAGCATAGAGGAAGTTCCCAAGTTACCACCAATAGTGTGGCCTGAAACCGAGGCTGAAGAACCACGGGAAGCGCAAGAGGAGAAGGTCACTAAGTCAAAAAGAGCAAGTGGCCCTAAACAACCAGACCCATATTCAATAGATGATAGTTCAGTAATGGTGCCTCTATTCATTACAATTGGTGCTTTTCTACCACTATTATTTTGTCTATGCAAACTTTAAATGTCTTAGTCTTTTGGTAAAATCATTTCATTAAATTTCTATCATCTCCAGCTTCTAAATTTTTTTTAAATCCTTTACAAATTAGTAGTTAACAAAATTCTATTTTATTATTTGTGACTATTAAGCCAAATGGTACAAATGAATTCACTAGGACCCGTCCTACTATATTTACATGACATTTATGCACTCATCGCTGCAGTTGCACATTAAGTGTAAATAAATTATTGAAAAAATTACTTGTTTTAATGTTATATCCTTACTCTCATGAAAATATTCTATATTAAAATAGACTGACTTTAGAAATATATAATTAAATATAAGTATTTTACTCTTAGATCTTAAATTTACCAACATGAAGTATTATGTTTATTAAAACACATTGTAAATCATTTATTATTTAATACATGTTGTTGCAATTAAAATTTAGCAAGTACTTAAAGCTATACAAATAAACCTGTATTCCTCCAAGCACCAAGCACCTCTTCCAATCTGAATAGCCCTTGAAATTCCTTTAATAAATTTTAGTCCTCTTTATTTTCTCTTCTTAATTTAAGTTTTTGTGATAATTTTACTAATTTTAACAAGCTGAAACAAATAAGTTTTATATTATTAATTAGTAGAAAAAATAAAATATTCAAACACAATTGTCCTGTTAGAATTGTTGTCTCTATGCAACAACTAAATACAGTATTAAAAGTTCTTAGAAATAATTTCCTTATCCGATGGGTGAGCGCGGGTTGCAAAAAGCAAACTCATTAATTTTTAAGGTAAATCCCATAACATTCACCATAAATTTAATTTTAACGGATGTCGATTGTCGATGAGAATTGAATGCATTCTTCGCGTAGCCCGACATTTCGAGTAGTCAGCGAGAGAGAGGTGTTTAATAAATTCGCATGTATTTATTATTAATATAAATACTTGCGAAAATAATAATTATAATATGTAATAAATTCGTTATAGAAGTTTTATTTTAATATTACTCGCCGTAAGCCAAAACTACATTAAGTATTTATTGTATGTTCAATAATAATTTTTCTCTAAGTATACAAAAAATTCTAATAAAATAAAGCTAATAAAATCCTCTAGGTAAAATTCTAGATGAACTCGTGAAACCGATTTAAATAACTACTTAAAAGTTTTTACATTCGTTGTTTTAGACATTATCGTAAAGAAATTTTATGAACTCGTTGAACAACATAATATAGTCACGCGTGACCTAAAAACGCCATTTTGTAATTTTATTTCCTGCTATATTTCAGGTATTTCTCTGAGGCAGCTGTATTCATGGACAGCTTAAAAATATTGGTAATAAATTATTCTATTGAGTCAAAGATTAACGAAAAGCAGGAACATTATCTAGGATAAGTAATTAGGTATACTGTATACATATCAATGAATGCCCTTAAGCCGAATATATATTGTGACCTATTCCCGATGATTATGTAAGTATGTTAACTGTTTGTGCCGCCATTTAAAGTAATGATAATATTTTTAAATTTTTCTATGTAAGTAATTTAATTTCAATCTATATTTATAATAGTTACTTCTTATATTCTTCCTACTTTGCCACATAGGTAAGCCTATAGTGAGCTCTTTTCTGTGCAGAAAAAACAGAACAAATAAAAATCTATACCTTAGGTATAGTAAAAATGTTATATTTTTCTTTTTTCACAGTGGTTGCCTGGAAGAGATCGCTCGAAAGCGATAAGGCCACCAGTTGCCCTTTATATTTAATTATGTTAATTTTTTATATTGCAATGCAACGAAGTGTAAATAACTAAAATAAATAAATAAAAATACTTACGCGTTGCCCGTGCTCTGCAACTTTAATTCACAGTCGCCTTTATAATTTAAAACGAAACCTTTTTTGCATTTTTTACCATTCGACGTTGAGTTTGGAGAAGCGATTGTATTTAAAGATGTTTCTGATGAAGCCTCAATGGCGTTTTTTGTAGTTGTATTATTGTCGATAACGGTCACGTCTGTCGATGGTTCATACAATCCTGTGATAGGAGCTCTGGTCGGTGGTTCTGTTTGATCATGCAATGCCGGTACTGTAGTTTTATTATTCCTCACAGAGTCAGGCTCAGTACTGGTTGAAGCGTTTAATGGTCTCGGGGTCGTCCGGTTCTGCGGTTTGATTGTCATTTCATTGTAATCATACGCATAGTCATAATCCTGTAAAATATTTAAAGTTATTTTTTTAACAAACCGTCGGACGAAGAATATTTTCGTCCATCCAATATCTAAGTAGCAATAGCTAGGTACTGACGGACGGACGGATTAGACCTAGGTCTAATTTAAATACACATTAAAACAATATAATACCTTTACTGATACATACAAAACATCCAACACAAGGTTACCAACCTAATAGTCTATTAAACACAATTTTTAAATTATTTAATGAAAACGGTTTACGCTATTATGATTTTAAATTAATCGAATACAAGATCCAAACACTCAAGTACATAAATATGCAATTAAATAATTAATAAGACTCAAAAATGCAAGTACCTACCACATATTCTTCTTTCCCGCCGTTCAAAAGTGCTATGATTTGTAAGTCCTTTAGTCCAACTTGAACATTAAAATCACCCGATTGACTTTGATCGTAATGCGTACATATGACGCATCTCATCACTGCTGAGACTATTAAAAAAATTAATTCACACTTCATTCTAGAAATATTTTAAATTATAATAAGTACTATAAGGCAAGGAACCCGCGCGTAAATGTCTCCGTTGCTGTACCTGCGCAGTTCTGAGAGCTGCTAAGTTATTTCCATCAACAGAACAGTTACTTCAAGTAACCGTAGGAAGGTCGATAGCCTTTGCTTGTAAGATGCGTCCTCACTTCGATCGCGTAGAGACCGCACATTTCTCATGAACAAATAACATAAGTATGTATTGGTTCCGGCAATCATTCAATAAGCTGGCGAAAAACTGTAAGATTATTGTCAAACAAACTTAAATATTTTGTTATGAATACTGCCTTTGGCCTTCTATTAATTCACATTTAAATAAAACTTCTTTACGGGATATAAACGTGAATTATTACATCGCTTACATAACTCGATGTTTCGGGTGTTCTTCAGTAGCCATGGTTAGGGAGTCTCTACTGTGTGATCGACATATAGATTGTAATAAATTTGCGTTCAATGCCGTCAAAGAAGTTTTATTTAAATATTTTGTTAATTAGGCAATACGTAAAATTGGGAAATTTGATGTAATAACTAATAAATATGTCTAGGTAATTAATATAAAGAGTTTTATGCTATAAATCTTCTTAGAAGAAAGAGCTAATATTGTAGCTAAATAAGTAAAAAAATATTAGATAATAATTGCTGGTTCCTCAGACCAAGAACCTTTTCTATTAATTTAAGCTTCGAACTTTAAACCTAAAACTCTAGTTTGAGTTAATATACTTATAGAATTACTAAAAGAGTAAACCTAATCTATATATGCTACAATGAATGATATAATTCAAATTTAAATAGCTAATCTGAAGGAAAAGTGTACTTAGGGGTATAGATGCAAATGCGCTTCTATCCACTTTTTCAAGTTCTTCAAAATTTGCAAGAAACCGTTTCTTCTCTTGAACACACTTTATTATCTATCAAATAAATAGTTTTAAGCATCAAATTGATACCGATTTTCAATAATACCTTCAATTTCTTTTTATAAGTAGAGGTAAAGTACAAATAAAAACATAAAATCTGGATAGAGGCCATTTTGCATCTAATCAAAGGATAGAAGCGATTTTGCATCTTATCCTATAGGATAGAAGCGGTTTTGCTCTTTCATTGGTCGCGTGGATGGTTTTATGCATTCGATGATTCAGGATGATTCATTTAAATGAACCCAGTTCTCTGTAAAAGTAAAACTATCAATGTTGACGCAAATGAATAAAATTGATTTTTATAGAAGACTACCTACGATATAAATAACTTAATAACGCAAAAATCCGTGACAATAGCTTTATTGTGGAACTTACATACCAAAATAGTAATGATAATACAAAAAGCACAATTAATGAGATATATAGGCCTTCTTTTTCTTTCGCTTAGTTCTAGATTTATCTCTATACTCACATTAAATCGTTGTTCATCCTTATCTATTACATTATGACTGATAAAGATGAACAATGATTTGATGTGAGCTTAGTAATAAATCTAGAACTAAACCAAACATCAAGAGGGCCTTGAACTTATGAAATGACAGATGTGACTCTCAAATTAAATCAAAATTAAACAGAAAAGCCAATCTCTTCTAGGTATTCGCACTGCTCTACATTCCCAGTTTCATCATGGTTTGTGTTTTCCAAAACATTTTTGTAATACAAGAGCTTATCAGATCCTAATTCCGTCTTCCAATTTTCACCAAAATGTTTCGACAAAAGTTTGTCCACATCATTTTGTTTCAAAGCTGATACGCCCGTTTCAAATGGTGCCACATCTCTGATACCAAAATCTGAGGTTGAGGATATACCTCGTTTCATTACACTTTTAGCAACTCCAGTGTCACTTTTGTAGTGAACCTCTCCTCTGAGAAGAAACCGTCCCGGCTTATTCTTGACTCTAGTGACATAGTACCTCTTGCATTCTGCAAATTTAAAATGGAATTTCCCAGGGGGCGTCATTGTTTCATTTGCAAAGGCTTTCCAATTTTTCAAAAAATTAAGAATGAAAATGTTACGTTATATAATAATAACATAATAATTTAATACCTAGAGCTTCGTTATCTTGTATGTCTTATTGCATAAACATGACCAATCACAAAGCAAACGAAACTTACCTTTTACACTTTTCCATGTTGCGTTTCCACTTATTTTCATTTCTAATCCTCTTCCTTGCCTTATTCCCTTGGACAGGAGTAACATTAATTTCCATTTTGTGTTCAATTTCTAATTAAAAACAGGAAAATAAACAACGCAATGAAGAACAGCAACAGATGGTCGCCATTATGCTTCCAAACAAGCATCACGTACTGTGCTGTGTCAATACTGTGCTGTGATTGGTCGAGCCGCGATAGAGGCGCTTTTGTTACTCACGATCGGATAGAGGCGTTTTTGCATCTAACTGCTTACTTCTTATGTGATTTTGTATAGGATAGAGGCGGCTTTGGTCGTATTTTACTGTATGAAACCAAAGAGAAATAGAAGGTTTGCCAGAATAAAAAAAAAAACAACAAGGGCTTGAAAGTGGATAGAAGCACTTTTGCATCTATACCCCTCACTTAGGGTTTTTTAATAATTTTGGAATTCAAATGTACGGTGATAACGACAATCAAACAATCTAGAAGGATTACATTATAATATATTATTAATAAAGATAAGTGTATTATACTTATATCAATTATTGAGTAATTGAGGTACTAAATACCAAATTTAAGCGTATTTTCATAAGAAGCCTACTGACACTATAAGATTTTATAAGTACATATTATGTAGGTAGTTATAATTTAAGAAAAAATTATCTGTAAATGTCTGCTGAACATCTGTGCAATCTTATTGTCAGCAACTGTCACTTATGCTTGCCTTCGTTGATCGTTTCTATTATTGTTTTCGGTTTGCCATCGACTCTCATTACGCCTTATTTACAAAATAATTTTGCTGATCACAATATGAACGTGTATGTCAAATAGCAATCATGTAATGTGTAACGTAGCTCATTAATCGTAGCTTGTAAAAAACAAAACCTCTTGTATAACGCTCAAATGTAATCATGATAAAGTTTTGGAAAAGTGCAGGTATGATTTTTACCAACAATATAAGATTATGTCCTTCTTTACTATTAATTATTTTGTAAACTTTTGAATTGATTAATTGTTGTATAGCGAAAGGCAAGAGTGGATGCCCCGTGCGGCCACCGGAAGAAAATAGATCAAACGCTCTAGAGGCTAATTTTTATATTAACTCCACTAATAATCTCGATGGTATGTGTCCAATGATTCTTGCTTCCTTACAAGCTCTGTTAAAATATATACATAATATAATTATTATTTTAGATGTTGCTGAACTATTTGAAAAAAAGTCTAAATTATGTTTAAAACTTAATGATATACTAAAAGATCGAAAGGCTATTAAAAATTTCGTAATCTTTATGGAATCTCAAGGAAATTCTTTATTATTAAAATGTTGGTTGGAACTTGAAAAATTTCGATTAAATGTGTTATGTTCCAATGAAAGTAATGAGAGAAATCATAATAAGTTATCTCATGCTAAAAGTTTGGATATTCACTGTACCTGCATTAAACCTAATTCCCTTCGTGATAATCACAAACTGCTTAATTGGAGAGGGAGTACCAGTAATTTGAGAATGTTGGAACGGTCACATGGTGGAAGTTCTTGTAGCAATTTAAACGATAACTTTGTGGAGTCATGTGATTTTTGTGAAAATAATCAATATATTGACCTTACTCATGAAGCAGTAAAATTGTTTAAAAAATATGTAGCGTTAGAGGCACCATGTAAGCTAGATGTACCAGATAAATTAAGAAAGGTACTTATATCAAATATTTGCCATCCAGAAGGGCAAATAAAAGAAAACTGTTTTAAACCAATACAAGATTACTTGTTTCAACAGATGGAGACAAAATATTTTAATGGCTTTAAAAATCATGCTTTATACACTAAGTCACAAATTGATGTTTTAACAACTGGAACTATTGATTTGAGGGATATTATTTACAATGAAAATATTTTATTTTACTTTACTGAATACTTAGAGCAAGAATCTCGTAGTATGCTTCTTGAATTTCTTATGGCTGTCACTCACTTTAGAGACAACCTTATTAATGGTAATACAACTTCTGACCAGGCTCAAGCAGATGCTATTGTTTTATATGAAAAGTATTTTTCATTACAAGCCACTAGCCCCATTGGCTTCTCAACAGATATAAGATTAAAAATTGAAAGTAATATTTGCAGAGAAGAAGGCACTATTGCAACATGTTTTGACATAGCATACATAGTTGTTTATAATAGCTTAAATAATTATGTAAGAACATTTTTAGAATCTGAACTTTACTACACATATCTTTCGGAAATGGTAAAATCTGTGGACCTCCTTTCTCCAACTAGTTGCAAATCTCAATCGGATTGCAGTAGTGAATTTAGCATAAGTACTCATAATACATTATTGGCCATGGGTGATCCTCTCTATAAAAAGAAACGTAACCTCTCTGTACCTGACATGACTATAGACTCTAATCAACTTTATAATGCTGATGCCCTATGGCAAAGAAAAACACATGATGGTTTGAGTCTAGGTAGAATAAATAGTTTAGGAAGATTTGAATCTAAATTAGAGCCAGATCCAGATAAGAAAGATAAATCAATACTAAAGAAAATGGTCAATAAGTTTGTTCCAATGAGCACATCCAGAGTAGAAGAGGAAATGGCTTGGCAAATAGCACATATGATAGTTAAAGATGTAACTGACTTGACGATGGCACCACAGGAAAACGATAATGAGGATTAAGATGTGATAGTAACTTAAGTTATCCTTAATAATGTAAATAATAGTTGTATGTAAAGATTATATTAAATGTTTATGTAATAAACTTCATTAGTAACAAAATCCTCTAAATGATGTGAAATTGTTGTTGTAAAATGTAAATAAAACAAGAATTTCAGAACTAACAATATATTTTTGAGTTGATAAATTCACCCTCACCCTATTTAGCTGCCCAATATGAATCAAACCAAAATCAGATTTTATTACCATGAAAGTTGATTTTGTTTTCATAATATTTTAAACTTTGTATAAATTGTAAATCATATAATCCCAATATTATAGTTATTGTTGCTTTCTAAAATATATTTGTTCTTAGAAATTTACTCTTAAATGTTCTTATATACAAGTAAAATGTATTTTCTAATGTTCAATTTGTAACTCAGTCAGAATTTTAAGTCAGCCTTTGATAAATTTCAATGATTAGAAATATGTGCATACCTAAATTATTAATATGTATATAAAACAAGTGTTACACATTTCACAATAAAACGTGGCTAATATACAAAAACAAAACAAAGTGCATAAATGCTAAAATAACACTAGAAATGTGGGTAACATACTTTATATTCATAATGCAATTGATGTCTTATAAAACAGTTTAGCACCAATTAATTAGTTACATAAACTTGTATAAATGAAATAAGCACACTGGGGAATAATGGAAATACAAAAATCTCACTTATTACAACTACTAGGTCTCCCTACGACCATGAGTATAATATAAATGATTACAAAATTAGACATGTCATGATGATAACAATTACTACAACATGACTTCCAATGGCACATAAATTGGTATTAATATAGTTTTCATTTAATGTCGTTTTAACTGCGTCAAAAGTTAAACCTATAACAAGATAATGTGATTTTAGGTTTTTACTGTAGTCATAGATGCAGTGGCGTAACAATAGGGTGGCAGGGCTGGTAAAATGCCACTGGCCCCCGACCCAATAGGGCCCATGTCTAATAGATATTATGTTCTATGGATGAATGTGAAGTCTCCAATACGCATTGGGCTAGCATGGGAACTACAGACCATTCCCTCTCGCCTAAGAGAGAAGGCCTATGGCCGTTAGTGGGACATATACAATGTGTAATTGAGTACGCAGAAAATCTCGAAGTTTATTAAAATTAAACTGAGAAGGGACAATTTTTACGCCACTGCTGATAGATGGTAAAAAAATTATAAGAATTATTAGTATTTGTAAACTAATATTCAATAATCCCTGATCACAGATTTTAGTTTTAAATCAACCACAATTTGAACCTTTTTAAACTATACAAGTGAAAAACTTACTAGATTAATATCACTACTATCTTTGGTATAGAAAATTACCAAATAATCATTCCAAAATACTTTTAATGTTCTCAAATCAGAAACTATCAATTTCGTGTAAATTTAAATATTTCTACCCAAAGACAGTTGGAACAATAGATACATCATTAGGATAAGCATAAGGCATATTTTGAATAAAAAATATTTAAGTATAAGGGTCTGTTTCACAATGTATGGATAAAGTACCAAATAGCTATGCAACACATAAATTATTTGGAAGATAAATTGTGTTATTTGACATTCATCGGACTCATAGCTTATGATGGACTTTATGTGACAAATAGCGCTATCTGACAGTAGTGAAACGCAAGAATAGTGTTTATCCTACCAATAAGTAATAAATAGCTAATTTGGAACTTAAGTAGATCTTATCCGTACATTGTGAAACAGACCCTAAAACTTACAAAAGTACAAAATTTTTTAGAGCCCACAATATTTATTATTACATACAATTTTCCCATGCATCTACTTGCACAGAAGTAACCATTCTTCTTTTTGTGCTCAACAATTAATGCGATGTTACCCATACATTCAACTTTAAAAGAGGTAAAAAGAAGTTTGGTTGTTATGGTTTCACTACCATAGTTATATTGTTTCTTTTAAGGCAAGTGATTAGGCTATATATATCTAACACATCGCTAATCAAATTTCTATGAACATGGTTACGATATAAGTCATTTGATTTGTAATTAACTACTTCATTTTTGCATTTCAGGGTAACATTGTCTCACAAACACATATACTGCTACTAGCTATTTTTAAATCGAAAACTTCTAATTATACATTTTTAAATATGCAGACGGAATCAGAATTTATATTATATTTATATTACTATTCAAACATAACTTAAAATTTCGTTCACTTTCTATTAATAGAGATGGCAACTTTAAAAAAAACTTTATGTTCATTATGACTATGTATAATGGCAACACTTGTGTCTATAACGTAGCATAGCTGTTATTAATTGTGGAGGGCATGGGAGCTAAAAGTAATCGAGGTGGTTCCGATCCTAAAAGTGGCGATTGCTCATCACTGAAATTGAGCTCCTTATGATCATCGTGGAACATTGGCTGATATCTGTCTGTCACATTCCACTTTCTGTAGACTAATGCATTGAGCAGGGCTTGCATAGGATTCATCAATGCCTGAAATTAATTAGTTCTTAAAAATTATAACTCTGTTTGAACTTGAAACATGTAAAAATATATAGCGTTTCAAGCCTTATCGAGCCAGTTTGCTTTTTCTTGATAAATACCAATTTCGTATTTGATATAAAAAAAATGTTACTTATATATGCCGTGTTTATTTTTTTTAATTTAATACTAGAAAGAAGCATTGATTAGTAATCATAACAATCAAATATTAAAAATAATTAAATCAAATTTAATAATTAGTTGTGTAAAACATGTAAAACAATCAGGTTATCTAAGGAATTTGACTAAAATATTTTTCACATAAAGAGTTTCAATTCGTGGTAAATCATATTGACCAGTGAGTTTTATACATCTCAATGAGATTGCTTCTGTTGTTGCTGGTGAATGTTTTTTTTAAATTCAATATCTACCCTATCCTACATACAAAATACGTTTAATATTTCTACGATTGTTGATTGTTGTTGTGTAGTTGGTTTACATAGCAATCAAATTATTTGTAAATATTATTACTTTGATAACACTTGTTTAAGTGTTAAATTGTGAGCAAACAGAGGCCAATACGATAAAAATGTACTTTATTCCTTTACAGTACAGATTTTACTGTGCAAAGTATCCTGCTATGGAATTCCCTACCTATTGATATTAGACGAGCTCAGTCCTTAAATTTATTTAAGAAGCTCCTTTTTGATCATTTTCTATCTGCCTCGTAAAATTAGCTCTGCTGATACGTATTATTATATATTATTGTGACTCTGTTAACCTTTTCATTGTATTTTAAATTTTTGTTTCTACATATTTTTATTTATTACTATTGTTATTTTATCTTTAGATTTTATTTTATTTTCTTTAGGGTTGCCTGAAAGAAATCGCTTGTTAGCGATAAGGCCGCCCGTTGCCTTATAACTTTTGTAACCTGTTTCTTTTATTTCTGTTATGTGTATGTTTTTGATTAAGGTAATAAAGTATAAATAAATAATTTTTACCACGGAAGTTTACGGGCATGCCAAGGACACCATATAGTTTATCAAACTATCCATTAAAACGCGGCTTATCGCAAGATTATTTATTTCACGTGAAATATATTTAAATTCAAATAACGCTAGGGTATTAAATCGAGAAAATTTGTTTTTTTGTATGATCCTCGCAATACAATATTACAATGGAAGGAAACTAGAAGAACTAAAGTGAAAATTAAATTCCTTACAAAATAAAATTTCTTAATTATATGGTATAGTAGTAATTAAATTGTATTTTTAATTTTAATTTTAACAACAAATTAGTTTAAAATTGTTCTAAATGAATGGGACTGATTCATTCAAGAGTAAATATTAAAATAATATACCGATTTCCCACGATGTTAAAACCACAATTTAAAGATAAATTAACAAATCTTTCTGTTTATAATAACTGAAGATTACTTTAAAGGTCAGAACTCACATACGGTATTACTCGATAGTTTTACTCGAAGTCGAGTAAAAATCAACGTGTGGACCGCAAAACTCACAGCTCGAAGACTCGCACCGAGCCGGCTCGATGGAATTAAATGACAGTAATTTCCTTCGAACCTACTCGAAGCGAGCCGTCAATCTTGACTCGAACGTGTGTACGTGACTGCGAGTGGCGCGAGGCGAGCGTCAGTCTGGTATTGTTTATCGTGATTGAAACGCATGTTTTTAAGAGAAATAGATTTGCGCTATAGAAGACTTTATTAACACATAAAGACAATGTGAGTGTTTATGGAATGTCAAGTCCAAAGATTACTCCCACAAAAATAAGAGAAATGAATGTTATGATAAATTTCTTTTCATTTTCTTCGATTTTCTTATAAAGCACTGTGAGACTTGCTAAATACAGCCACCGTCTCCTTTGTTGCTCAGACATCCTTTGGCTCGAACGGTTCGGTGAATACTGAACGGCGCGCCTCACTCGATAGATCAATGCTCAATGTGTGGACGAAAGCCCATGCCATGGGTTTTACTCGACAGTTTAGCTCGATCGAGCAATACCGTATGTGAGTACTGACCTTAAGGCCATCAACCGCACGGTCCTTACATAAACTATTTTTTGCCATTCGTTTAAGGCCCAATGCCCCATAAAAGTATATGATGTATAATGTGATGCTTACCATTATATACCAAATTGAAATAATCGCTTTGACGGGCATTGTCGACCACATTGTCCATATTAAAATTCCATTTATAAGATTCGGCAACCAGCAGACGTAAAATACGACGTTTATCAAAAAGAATTTTAGTCGTAAAGCATCCACAACTCTTCTTTCTTTGCTTGTAAACTGGAAAAAATAACTATTAGGCTCAGTGGTTAAAACAATGGCGTAGTGGAATTATATTTATTGAGACAAATAGTTAAAACAAAATAATTTTAATACATTACCTGTGCTAATGGCAGCGCTACAGTAACTTCAATTTTCTTTCCCGCCAAAATGTATATAATGGGATTAATGACCATCACTAAAGCTATGGGCACATAAGTTGCACAATAGTTTGGTAGAATCCTTAACAGCACATTCGATAGAGATGTTAAATTATGGCACCTGAAATTTTTTTTTCTATATTTGGAATTGTTTACCTCTATACTGACATACACAAAACACTTTTTTTAATAAAAAAGTATTTCCTGTTTAATAAAAAGTTGTTATCCAGTTTTTACGACGCAATAAAAAAGTAATTACAAAGTCCTATTATAGTTGTGAACCTTCAGACAAAAACTTACCATTTACAAAACGCAAAACTATCTATATAAGTCATACTTAGTTCGAGCACTTTTTATGTATTGGAAATAAAACCTAGTCACAATAGAATATTCACCAAAAGGTACCACCAACCTTATTTAAATATGTATTAGCCTGCGTTAATCGTCAAATAACTCAAACGCATCCCAGATATATGGTCCTACAAAAATGTGGTTCTAGCGCGAGTTATGTAACCTAACATTAGTTAAATTACATATTTGGCGTCCCAAAGTTATGGGACATGAAGGGAAAGTACCTAAAATATCGTAGATAGGGTATTTTACTGAAAGAAGACTTTATGTTATTTTTTTAAAGTTAGTAAGTGAAAAACGCACTTGGTTATTCGTTTCAGTGACTCGTAGGGGATTTTAGACCAAATACGATAGATAAGGTTTTTAATTTGATTAAAATGATTAATTTCACGCTGTTCCTTTCTTTTAAAATACTATGTTACTTAAGAAGAGTTATTACTTTTTGGCCATTCTTTCGATTGGCATCATAAAAGTAGGGGTGTTATTTTTTTACATTTAAGTCGGTTCGATTCCCAGACGAGGCAAATAATTTTTAGAAAATCTTTGAATGCAGAATTACTAACTTTTAAAAATAACATAAAGTCTTCTTTGAGTAAAATACCCTATCTACGATATTTTAGGTACTTTCCCTTCATGTCCCATAACTTTGGGACGCTCTGTATATAACCAAATGTTATCATCGCACCATGCATGCACGCATTGTTATCCGATAATGTCCAATAGGTCTACTACACTTATATTCGTTATAGGTAAGTGTCAATAAATCAAGTTAGTTTCTTGTTAGTCTTGCGTCGTAACCCCACACACCCCTCATTTTAGGTTAGTTACAAGCTCAAGTTTAAACGATTAAAGCCAGTTGACACCCAGCTTCAAACCACAATCAAACAAAGAATATTTTTTTAACATAAAGCAGATGTTACGCGATAATACTCACGTTGCATTCGGTATGTAGAGTATGGATAGACCTATACTAGTCGTCGCTGCAGGTATTCCCCAAGCCAAGGAGTGGTAAAGTAGAGGTCGTGTATCTTTACCCTGTATCGACTGCCATATGTCTACCGCGTAGAATAATGTCCAAAACCACGTAGCTGTGTAAAAATATTGCGTCCATGCCTGAAATTATAGTTTTCGGTAATTTATTTATATATAATAAATATTACTCTTTTAGATATTAGAGATAAAATAAATGTATCTATAATTATAAAAATCTCGTATTCACAGAAGCACCTCGACCGACTTTTATTAAATTTCTTATATGTATTTGGCAGATTAGGTAAGATGTTACCTCAGCAGAAAACAATTTCGATTCGATTCGATTTTGATTTGGCGATTTCTTCGCATCGCCTATACCCTTATATATTTTAATTACGCTATCTGATGTTTTATTAATCCGTAACTCAGTTTTCATAACGATTATACTTAGTATTGTCTTTGATTGACATAACCTTTACACATTTAAAAAAAAACTTTTTAACCGGATTAAAGTTATGTATTATTATAAATTTACAATTATTTAACATAATTTTAAATTTATCCGACGTTTCGCGTGCTTTACAGCGTGCGTGGTCACGGTGACCGTTTAAGTTTTTTCTTTAAAGTACGATTATACTGATCATCTAATTACGTATTTTGTATATATTTATAGATCGTATAGATAGTAGCTTCGAAGAATGAAGGCTGCTTTTTTTAAATGTATTTCGCAAGACAAATGGAAACTTCTAAAATCTTTTAGATTATAAAAGTTATATAAATGGCAAATTTCTTAGGTAAAAACCGTATTTTTTATTAAACATTATTTTATTGAATTTACATAATTAATTGCATATAAAATGACCTTCAATCATTCTTGATTCCTAGTTACAAAAAAACAATTCTCAAGAGAACCTGTTCAAGATTGTTTGTTTGCCTACATTTTTAATACATTAATAAACTTGAATGCAATTTATACATAATATTTTTAATTTAAACACCATTTCCGGGACCTCACGGTTTCCCAACAAATCTATAATTGCTTTGGATTCAACAAACATTTATTTTATGTCCTAATAGAATTTAGAAATACTATGTGCAGCACTGTTAACCACAAAACAGATCATGTTACAGACATTCACTTTAATTTATCCTTCTGAATATGGTTTCACGTCTATAATTACCTATTTAATTTATTGTTAGAACATGTGGCGGTTGAAATTTAAAACATGACTTATTGAAATTAATATAAAAAAATGGTACGCACCGAAGTTATGCTACAAAACAGAACACTAATATCATCATCAGGAAGTGGTAAGATATTTTTGTACTTCAACCAGAAAGATGATCTTACCAACACACCTGAAACAATTATATACATATTATTATTTAATTTTATGTAGATTGTGTGTTCCTGAAAACAAAAACAATAATGTCCAGGTTTCTTTTAGGGAAACTTCAATAATATATAGATAATTAAATATTATCATCTATAATACTTTAAAACATGCTAAATCATACCCAGAGAGGCTAAGAGATCTGCAACTGCCAACCACATTATGATCTTTCTTCCCCTGCTTGGACTTTGTATCCTCCGTACACCATTTTGAAATATCTAAAAAAAGAATGTACAATCTTTCCTTCCTCAAAAGATAAATTTTTGGCCAAGTGTTTTATTATTATTAAAAAGCAAAGGCTAAATTAATAAATGGTTATGAAGCTTAACAAAGAAAAATAACTTAGAACCCCACTGTAACACATTAAAGAGTTAATATAAATAAATAATAAACATTGTAATATTTCTTAAAAAAGATAAAAAGGATATTTTGGGAATATTGCTCTATTTTAAAATATCTTCTCAAGTACTTACCTGATACATAGCACCAAGAATTCCAATAGTGGATGATACCAAACAAACTGTATTGTAAGATTCAGTATTAAACTCATCCATTATTTGAATAGTTACTACTCCTCCTTGATTATCATTGTGATGGCAGCAAAAAGTCTGTATTGTAGGATCAGACATTTTGTACTCGGTAAGGAGACGAATAACGAATACATAAGAATAATCTGATATTTTGTCAACAAAAAAATTCACCTTTACAACACCGAACACAGATTACTTATCAATTATTACTTAACAGTTAATAGTAGTATGCCGGTATACCGATTACCGTATGCGGTATGCGCCAAACGTAAACAAGCAGCAAACACACCACAGACAAAAAAATATAGACTACGCATTAATTAATCACATTATTGACCACATACAATATTTATTTATTTTACAAAAACAAGCGCAACATTCGCATGAATAGGTACTCGCAGGTAGTTTATTAATAATATGTATTCACAAAGAAGATACAACCTTGTAAGTTAATGTTTGTTTAAAATTTATAGTTTTTTACTGAGACAGTTTTCGCAATTGTGTCCCCACTATAAAAGACTAAGAGAACGCCTGTAGCGATATCCATCGACGAGTTCGTCGCACGGCTCGCGAAGGTGATGTTGGATCGAGCGGACGCCTCTCAGCATCCCCATCTCCAAAACATCGCGCCGTGTCACTCCGGGCCGCCAGATTGCCATCGGTACCCGCGAGAGCTACAGCTCTCCGCAGGTGCCAACAACAGCGGACTAGACACCAGGGCAGCAATCGCGGCTTCAACCGCTGGGCCCTCCTCCGGGGTATCCGGGGGTCTCACCAGGTGGAGCGTTGCCCGCGAGCCGCGAGTCTGGCCGCTACCAATGACCACGACACTTCGGCCTGAGAGATTACTCCTTTCCTTACCGCTTTATTGACACCCCGGATATGACCCCAACTTCGGCTGCATGCAGCGAGTATAGTGCTATAGGGTGCCCCCGTACCATCCTGTATTAGTAGGGCGCGAATAAACACACCACCCGAAGGGGGCATACGCATCGAAAGAGCCTTAACACCCCCCTCGCGAGGGAAGGTGCAACAAATGCAGAAACAATTGTTGCGATATGTCGTAATCCCCTCGAGAATTGAAAAACTTGATTTACCAAACCAAAAATGTTCTTAAATACTTCAATTTACAAAATGTAAAGTAATGTTGTAACAGGATTTCTTTTCGTACAAAAGTACCGAACAATAGGTAAATAATAAATATATTTATAAATAAAACAATTTAATTACATATAACCTTTTTATTTGTACCACACACATTTAAAATACAAAGCATAACCATAAAAACTTGTCGTGAAACGATACATTTACTTGTTTTCTGGAAGCAAGTCAGATTTAGTAGTGGAAATGAGAGGTATTACAGTTAAATTATCTTTTACACTAAAGCATGGATTAATAGGATCACGAATTTCTCCTGATTCGGAAGACGTACAGTTTAACCCAACAGTGAAGTCCTTAATCTCATCCTCACTAGAAAGTTTTAAGGCTTTTGGAGAATTTGAATCGGTAATATTAGTTTCTATCAAGGTGTCATTTAGAGCAGTTTCTACCAAGGTGTCATTTAGAGCAGTTTCTGCAAGAACGTTCGGTGGTTCTGTTACGTTATTTTGTGCTGCAGTGTTCAGTAAAATGGAACATGGTATAGTCGTCATAAATTCTTTACTATCTTTTGTTACCACAGTGATCGTGCACTTCGTATCATTATTAGCATTCTCAACTTTATCATCCTTAACATTAGCATCAGGTGTAAAGGAAGTTGCAATTGAACAAGGTATTGCGATGACTTCAGTCGCATTTATACTGCTGATTGTAAGAGTACAGTTTACTAAATCACGTAGTATGGGATCTTCAGCCGAAACAGTTCCGTTTTCGGCAGCTACTGCAATAGGCTGTCCTCTATTATCATAGATAACTGTATGATGATGATGACCTGTAGATCTAGCCATATTCCACAATGCCAACCCAGTCAGCACGGTTCCTATACCGGCACCGGCTAAACCAACACCAGCTAGTGTACTACCAGAACGGCTTACACCACCAAAACCTTTGTTGGTGTAGCTGCCAAAGTAACCAGGCATTTGTGGACTGTATCCTGGTCCACCATGACCCCCATAACCACTGTAACCATGTCCATAATTGGAATAAGGAGGTGGAGGGCCTTGATGATTGTTATTTCCATACGGTGTGTAGGGTGGGGGAGCAGCTTGGTAATTATTTCCAACATTGTTCGGCGGGTGATTGTTTTGTAAATTGTTATTAGGTGGGTACTGTGGCTTATTTGGTGAATTATACGACGACGGAACCCCATTTGATCCGGATAATCCTGACCCTTGTGGATAGCTAGAACCTGCTCCAGAATTTCCAGATAATCCATTGGAGGCAGGATATGCGTGGCTATTCGTTTGGCTCGGTGATTCAGGACGAGGTGCAGTTTGCTGGCTTGGGACATTACTTCTTTGAACATGTTCCTGTTGCTGAGTTTGTTTTGAACCTGCACCAGAAAGCCCAGTGTTGCTTGCAGGATATGAAGGAGCTTGATTTCCTGGCTTAGATTGGTGTGATTGCGATATCTGTGTCTTTTGAGCAGGTTTTTCTTGCCAACCAAATAAACTTGGTTTGGGAGCTGACGCTTGTGGATAGCTCAAGGAAGTTGGAGCTGGTTGAGGCTTATAATTAGTCTTCCTACCAGAACCCCTGCCCGATCCTCGGCTTCTAGAAAGTTTCTTTCCTTCAATAGTCACAGCAAAAATCAATAACAATAGACACGTTATTTTGAGAAGTTTTTTAGTCATTTTAATAATGTATTTCTAGTTATTTACACTGTAAGTTATTTTTGTGACTTTCGATCCAAGCGGCGTGCAATGTTGTTCGTTTCACGAAAGCTATTGTGCTACTACGATATGACGCAGTACGTTTCTGGAATTAGATTGGTCAATATTCACTCGCCCTTTAAAACGAAGTTGGTCGATGCTATTACTATGGAGTTTAACTAAATATAGCCATATAAGTATACATAGTAACCTCGAGGTGAACCTCGACTAATGAGCACATACAAGCGACTTGGTCAAATCAATATTATGTACTCAGGTAAAGTTAAGGTACGTACGCTTGTATATAAATACGTATGCTTTAAAAAAATTGTTAATTACCTATGTATACGCAAAATAGTTATAATGAACATTGTGGTACGGTGAAAAAAACCAGCGTGTCTTACATTAAAAAAATAATATGTGTTAGGCACAAAAAATTATTGGACACATTCTGAGGCCAAGACCCCTAAAGGGTTGTAGTGCCACTGCATTACTATTAAACCCTTTATAAAGGAGATTTATATTAAAGTGTTGTGAAGACTTTTGAAACGCTGTGTGTGAATAAATATAACGAGAAATCGTAGTAACAACCTTATTATTAAGAGCGGATGTGTCACTTTAAACTCGTTAGCTTCTAAGAATTGAAATTGTACTTGGATATTGAGACACGTATTGTAAATAACGAAGAGAGATATGAATCGATAAGGCTTTATAAATATACAGGTGTTAAATTGGTAATACAACCCTTGGTCTGTGCTATCAGGTCGTCAATGATTGTTAAACACCAAAACTTTAAATATTTTCTTTGCTACATTGTCTATATTTGTTTGTTTTTTTTTCTCTTATATATCAAAGTTATTGTATATTAAGTATTTGTAGTTTCGCACTTCTTAAGCTTATATATTGTTTTACTTTTCCTTACAATACTGGACGATAGCCCATGCCTCCTAATTATTTAAGTGCTGTGCAACGAGGTGATAAAGAAATATTAAAAAAAGTACTTTGAAGAAAATCTAATTATAAAAAAAAATTACAAAATAAAAAGAGTTAGAGTTTAAATCTATTTAAATTACTTAATTGATGTAGGGGTCTGTACACAATATCTAATATACCGCAAGATAATTCAGCCATCCTACAAAATTTTCATTACAGTTTTTTTTGTTAATATTTTTCCGAGTCAAATCTTGTTTAATATATTGACGAATAACTGTTTCGATGCTCTTAAATACATAATACAATACAAAATACCAATATCTTTTAATTTTCATTTCTAATTAACTTTAATAGATTAACATCGTCGTTATCTTTGCGAGAAAAATATTTTATTAATACATTTAAGGATGATGAGTATGCTAGTAGGTACACTTAGCCCTTTACAGCTCAGGGGTCTAGCCAAGATGGCTTAACAGTAGTGTATGTAGAAAGTCGAAAACTAAATTTGTATGAAAATGACAGCTCGTGTCGACAGTCGGTAGCCTAGGCCCTAAAGGCGTGAGTCGGGATACAATAAGCAACGCCATGACAGTGCTACGAAAAGACACACATTAACGCTTACGCTATTCGGTAGCCAACGGCCAATTAATGTTTCGGCAGTGTAAAAAAACGGCGTTTCTCCGCCATGTTTTAGCGTGATCTCAAAAGCTGCTGTTTGCAACAATTCACTATTCAGTACAACTATTGCCATCTTTAATGGCTACCGTTTTAAAAACATGTCATATTTTAGACGTTTTAACGAAATGGTTTTAATTTGTTATCTGTCTTTTTTAACGTTCTCGTGTACCTAATTACATATAATAATTTAAACTAGAGTTAATATTTTTAAGTTAAGCGTTTTAGTTTTTCTATGAATCAATGCGAGGATAACATAATAGACACAGATAAATATGAAAATATCAAGAAAATCAGTAAATTAGTAGAGGTAAATCCTAGTGATATTGGATATCTTTTATTGATATTTATATTGCATGTAAGTTCATGAAATTATTCTTTAATTTGAAAAATATATATATCATTTAATATTGCATATATTATGTAATCACAAAGTAAAATGATTGTACATTTTATTTGTATATTTCAGATGAGAAAGCAGTCACTAATGAACATAATTAGAAGTTCTAAATATATTTTATTGTAATTATAATAGAAGCTAATGATATAATATTGATTTAAATTAATCAAATAAAGTGGATTTATACTTTATGAACTTTGGAAATATAAAATCTAGTGAGCAATACTAAGTAATCGTAAGCAGATATTTTTCTTTAATTATTTACTAAGTCAATATACTAGAGAAGTTATTATAATATTGTTAATAAATGAGAAGTTTGAATTCAAGTCCCTTGGGAGTTACTGACATTGTTTGGTTGTTAAAAACTTTAATTGACAATAAGCAGCAAAGTGACAAATTAAGTATATTTTTAAGTTTAGAATTAAGTAAAGAGTTTTAATATTAAAGTTACCTATTGAACAAACCTTGGACCGATCTTACAGTTTAGTTTGTCAGTTTTCTATTTGATCAAAGTACTAACTAAAATATTTTCTTTTCAGAAAAAGAGAAGCTAATAAGACAACTAAAAATATTAAAAAAAACCACAAATGGACAAGTTTTATTAAAGTCTTATCTTTTAATTAATTTAAGTGCTATATTATGTACCTGAAAATGAATTTGATAATGGGGAATGAAGCATTTTATGAATAATGTAAAAAATAAGACAAGTGGAGTATGAAATAATGGTTGGTTTGGTTTGAGTAACATTACCTCATGAACAGGAAACAGTAACTGAAACTATGTTCTTCCACATTTAATCTTAATAAGGTCAGCAGTTTGAATATTAATGAGATATTATTATAAACAAACTGCATTTGTAGATTTTGGGAAGAATTATATCTTTACAATAACTATTATTATTTACAATCACCCAGGATGTATTCATAGTAACTGTAGGTATCATAGTAATTTTATGAAATCATCACAACATCTAACGTTAGGTTTTATGAATTGAAAATTTTTTTGTATATAACAGCACACAAACAAGATATTGACATTGGTGCAAATTAACACTTACATTTATTAGTTAATTATCTACATATATAAATATGAATACATCTACATTAGGTAGTAATGCATTGAATTTGGTGCACCTGTGTGTGTACAGTAGTAATGTCTGTATTGTTTAATAAGTTGTTACATATGCTTATTTTTCTATGTAGACTGCATTATGGTAAGAAAGATATTTGGTGCCTTATTTTAAAAAAAAATAACCATAACTGTAGCATTTTTATTTTGATACCTGTTTGTTTAATATTCCTAACTATTAGTAGGTACGGGTCATTCATATATGCATTATCTGTATATTCTTGTAAAATAAACTAATATTGTTAACCACTTTAATGGCTTTTCCTACTAAAGAAGACATAGGTAAATTACCAAAAATAAAACTGACAAATACATAACATACAATGTTTATTCATTTCTTACTTTAACAGATTTTGCATTTACATATTAACTAGTAGCAAATCACTGATATAACCAATAGCTAATTGACATAAATATTAACTTAAAATCAGCGTCAAACTTAAATTTATATCTAAGATGTTGGAGCATCAATATGGAATCAAAGGTTGATTAAGGGTTATAATTTCATACCAGACTAAGTTTCTATTTTATAATTTTTATTAATCCCTCTTTTCATTTCATTGAGTACTTGCTGATTTTCAATTCTCACTTTCTAAAAGTATAAATTTATTATAAACAATCAACCTTTATGACTCTTAACTTAAACTGATATTGTTTGTTGGACATAAACAGAGATAATTCCAACTAGTAGCAAATCACTAATAAAATCTACACTTATATATAAATCTGCTTTCAAATTGACATTAAAAATGTTCAAGCACAAACACCAAACCTAATTAAAGCTTAAATCAAACTCTAATTTCAGTGTTCACACTAGTCTACGTTTTTTTTCTATTGTTTTTTAATTCATTGGACTTTATCAACTTCTAGTCAACCTTATTTTCACTCTTTATTTATCAATCCACAGTACTATTTCTATTGTTTCTTCTAAGCGGTAACAAAATCTGTTGCTTCTTCCTTTTGCAGATTAGTTGTGAGGTCAAATCCTAAAAATATCAAAGTATGAGTACTACTAATTATTATATATCACGATTATGCAATTTCAAAATATTGTATTTTTGTAACCTTAAATTTCTGAGAAAACATGAAACAAACCATAATTAATTTAAACATTCAATTAAAATTCATATATTCACTTTGCACCTTTCGTAAATTCCACTTAAATCGAAAATTGTTCCGACCTTGCTGACATTCTAATGTCCGTTTTGCAGCTTCCAATTGCAAAGTTACAATAATATTGTAAAATTTTTAACTTTTATTTGTTTATAAAAGTGACATTAGGAATACGTTTAATCCAGAGACAATATGACGGAATAAGGTGCTACGAACAGCAGCTCGCTTCTACGCTGTCGACTTTGCGGTAATGTATCGACATGCCTCTTGGCTACGAACGAAGCGTTTTCGACAATACAATTACGCAAAAGCGGTAGTGTACGTAGAATACTTTTCGACACCAATATGGCTAGCCCCCCAGTTCGGGTTGTTTTGGCGAGCGTAGCTCGGCCTGAAAGGAGACTTGATGATGACAGATGAGGAATGTTTGATATTTTAAGCAGGTAACATGACATTTCACATTTGACAAGCAAGCCCACATCAATTGACAATTTATGTTTTATTGGTTCATAAAAATTATCTTTCAAGTCAACTTCCCAGTTTCCAACTCAACATTTTATATTAACATGTTCCTAATTCCTATGATGTGTACTAACTGTTATATAAATTTGTTTTATAAATGATTACATACCAATTTCTAATAGGTATTAACCCTACTCATTCAGGGTTACGTATATAATATCCATAACTTTTTTCACTTTCATATTTACTGTATCCGTATTCCATAGCTATTATTTAACAAAATCGTCATTTTTATCACAACATTAACAAAATAATGTTTCTTCTAACTTAGTTTGTTTATATTTTATATACCTAAAGTAATATAAAATGTCTGAAGTAAAAGGAACAAAAGCTTTGGAATTATGGTGCAAACGTCTCGTCAAAGGTTGTCCCCATGTTCAAATAGAAAACATGACTACATCTTGGAGGAATGGAATTGCTTTCTGTGCACTTGTACATCATTTTAGACCTGACTTAATGTAAGTAGTACAGTACTAATGTATCTTCACAAATGTAGGTAGAAAGTATAAACATTAGAGCTTTAATTGTTTATAAATTTTACAGTGATCTTACAAAACTAAATCCAGAAAACATATTTGAAAACAATCAGCTAGCCTATAGTATTGCTGAAAAGCATTTAGGTATACCCGCACTGTTAGATGCAGAAGACATGGTCGAGAATGATGTTCCAGATAGATTATCAATATTGACGTATTTGTCTCAATTTTATCAACGTCTTGGTCATACTGGTGAGGCTTAAAACAACTTTTTTTTTGTTTTGTATATTTTAGTTTTCATAATATTTTCCAAGTTTATTTTTAACTTTAACCTCTTTAAATTTTCAGTAAATGCTAAAGTTTCAGAAAGTGAAGCAAAATCATCACAGTCTTCACAGATAACAGTAAGTTTGCAGCATTTGTAATTATTTATACACATTGAAATGTTTACTAAAGTATGTTGCCTGCTTACGTAGATATGTGTTGTCCTTTTGTGTTGTAATTTTTATCACTGTTTTTTTCCTATCTTTTCTTTACTCTTTTTTCACTCTTGTAGACACCAATCAAATTTGGAAAAGTGGCTTTGGATAAATGCGCCGTTTGTGGACTTCCTGTATACTTAGCACAAAGACTCATTGTGTCACAGAGATTGTATCACAGGCAATGCTTCCGATGTTCTAAATGTTCTGGACATTTGAATCCTAAAAATTTTCACATGTTGAATGCAAATGAATTTTCTTGTGACTCTTGTAAAAATGAAAAGACTGTCATATCTAAATATCTTAATAATAATGATCAAATGGGAATGTTGGCATTTTGTAATGATGATAATATGTCAAATAGCACGAATTTGGATATAGAAAAGGAAGACTCTATTGTAAAAAAGGAAAAAACAAGACCAAAATCAATATTAGGTGAGGATGTTTTCAGTTTTCTTGCATTGCATGTGTGTTTTCTTATTGATGTGTGTGTTTGCATCTGTTAACATTTTTGGTGTAAACTACAAAAACTAGATTTTGATTAGCACATTACAATTTATTGGATGTTGCATGTGCATTTGAATGTTTAATAATAATATTATTGCACCAATTGTTATTTTTCCAATGAAAGCAGGTCAGTTGTTACAATCAAAGAGGTGACTTCCAATAAAAGTAATAATGTGACTAATCAATAAAATTCACTGTAGAATAGATGATAGAAAAGTAAGTACATATAATATAATCATTATCATTTTGATACTTTGTTACTAAGTTACTAAATTTGTTACTTATAACATGTTTGTTAACAAAGTATGTATATCATTTGATATCTTGAAATACAAAGGTTTTATTTTATCCAGATATTTTAACTATATTTTTTATAAACCAAATAAATTTGACTTAGTGTTGATTTGTTTCAGAAAAAATAAATATGTTTGAAAATAATATAGATAAAGAAAACAGTATTGAAAGTAAAATAGGAAATCTTAGTATAAAAGATTATAGTATTGATGAATGTAAATATAAGGATATGAATATTAGTGCTAATGATGATGCTAAAGACAGAGATGGTACTAGCAGTGCTATAAAAAATGAAGAACAAATTAGTTTAAATAGTTCCATTGATTTAAGAACAGAGAGTGATAAAGATAGAAATGATATGTCAAAAATAGATACACCAGAAATAAAATATACTAGTACTATTGAAAAATTAACTTTTTTACAAACACAATTATCTGGAGAAGCAAATTTTGATAATTACTCAAATCCAAATCAAGTAATCAATACAAGTATTGAAAATGTTTTGCCAAAAACAGAGCAAACAGATAGCAAAAGTTGGTCAAAAGATATGCCAATTAACATAACAGATGATAGCCGATTAGCACAAACTAATAAAAATTTAGATATTAGTGTAACATTAGACATTTCCCATAAAGAGGAGATTGACAAAGATTTATGTGAAAAGGAAGTTAAAATAAATGTACCTCCAAGGAGAAAAAAAATAAATAATCCTGAAAATAAAATTGAAACAATTGCTGAAATGAAGCAAACAAAGAATAAGAGTTATCCTGATCATTTAAATCCATTTTCTGACGACGAAGAAGAGGTATGTGACCTAGTTATAGAATGCTAATATATATTCAATGTTTATTTACCTTGGCATCTAACTTAATCATTTGGTTAAGTTTGAATATCACATACAAGTATGTTTACTTATGCTAAATCACTTTTCAGAATGATACAAAAGATTCAACTAAGAAAGACAGTACTAATCCATTTGGTAGTAGTGATGAGGAAGATGATGAGGTTCCTTCGATACAATCGCCAGCGGCAAATGTACAGACATCAACACCTGTGTATGTTTATTAAGTACTTGTTTGTAATCAATAATTAATAATTATCCTTTTTTAATCAGTTTTCACATAATTATCTTACTTTCTCTTCTATGGAAACAACAATGTGTAGTATGCCTCATTTAATTGATATTTAATCACTAATGGTTATTTTATTTTTTATATAGACTACTAAAAAATAATTTAGATTTTGTCATAGTCGACACTTAGCATAAACTTTGATTAACGTATTTCAACATCCAATTCATTTTTAGCACACAAGTTATAATCTTGTCTTAAAATAAGTAATATTTACAGAAGACGCCATATCAAAGCATACAATCCATTTTGGTCCGATGGGGAAGAACCATCGTCAGATGAAGATTATGATAGTATGAGGTGAGTAATAAAGCTATATATTATAATATTGATAAATTAACTAATGGCGAAACACCTTTAATAAACACCGGAAATCCATTTTAAATGTACTGTAGAAAATTATAAGATAAATGCGTAAAGATTTTGAGTCTGCATCTTTCACTGCATCTCAGATTTGGGCCGTATCACCTTGATGCCCGTCGTACCTCAACAGCAAATTGTAAGGGGCTTGAGACAACTTTACGAGGAAGGAGTTTGTATAAGAATGATATAAGGTCACGCTTTGTCACGTGACCATTTTCATACAAATTCTTTTCGCGTTAGTAGGTCGCGAAGTGATTGTCTATGAAGAAAAGAGCATGAAAAGGCAACGCACTGGCTAGTAGTCTAGTTGTGTTCATGGGCAACTGTATCCCTTAAAATCAAATAATGTGTGCTATTTTATGAAATGTAATGTTTACAAACAGTACGTGATCATGAAGACCAAAGCGTTGTATTTATGCCACATAATTAGAACCTACTTTCTTATGTTTGCATAAACTTATAAATTTGTATCAGATAAGTAATACGAACTTGCCGGAATTGGTTACGTTTTAATTCCTTAGTAGCGTGAATCATCTTATTATTAATATATTATTTACAAAAGAAGTGGTTCTCTAGGAACTGTCTTTTTGTGATACCTAAAGGTAATGAAAATTTCAGTTCCAGTATGCACAAAGGGTCAATAACGGCGAGTACCCCAAATCTTCCTTCGGGAACTCCTCGGCGAAGGAAACCCAAAGCTCCGCCTCCGCCTACCATAAATGTCGAGTATTCGGCCCCAACTACATCTATGGATGATGTCGCTAGCATTTCTTCTGTTAGCTCGCATGCTTCAACTATACACTCTGACCAGGTGACCTTTTTTATAGTATAGTTTCTATAGTACGAAGCAGTTTGTAGTTTTTGTACATATATAATACTATACTATTTATATATGTCGCAGGCAACTAGCTTAATTGGCCGTTCAATTAACAGCCTAGCCTTTTAACTAACGGCCTGAAAGATGTTCAGCCAGTTGATCAAACAGCTAGGCAAATGACTTGGATCGATGACGTCTCATTACTTGCCTAGCCTATTGACTGTTAATTTATATTTAATTCCACTTTCTGCCACTCTCAAACTCGAAACGAAATTAACACTCGTTAGTGCGGTTAACAAACCGATGCTGTTAAGAAAAAAATTATCACGAAACCAATACAGACACGTTGTAGCGCCACTAATGTTTTTATGTCTAGTAAAACTGTTACAACTTACCATTAATAGTCTAAATTTGTTTATTTTAACACCTAGATAGTATTAAATACATACGATTTTCCTAAAACAAATGTATTTCAACTTATTTGTAGAAATCAATTGGTAAACTGACGCCAAGATCAAAGAAGAGACGGCTGGCCCCAACCCCTCCCGATACTCGGTCTATGGCTTCAGGCTATGGCGCCTCACTTGAAGCAGATATTTCTTTACGGAGTAACGCTTCTGAAGGTAAGAGAACTCTATAAACTGATCATTCAAAAATCTAACATTTCTATAACAAAAGTTTTACTTAAAATATTTATAAACTTTAATTATTGGTTATTGTTTTGTAAATAAATCTTACCTAATAAATGTTTAATATAACTTGATTTTTATCTACAATTAAGAACACACATGACAAGACCAAACACCATACCTTCTATTACCCATTCTTCTTCTATATTGGTCTCGTACGTTCTAGAAACATCGTATCGTAATTTTTATTATCGCGGGAAAAACCACGTTCATAAGGGTTGAAAAAGAACTTGACAATATTTATAGTTAAAAATTCGATAATATTTTTGCTTGTTCGTTTTAATATTTTTGTTTTAAAATTATTCTTAAATTCAATATATAGAATAGCTAGTTGCATTCTTATTACAATAATTTTGTAAAAAAATTATTTTTTGTTTTTCAGGTCGCAAGAAAGGTCCCGCACCGGGTCTTCCCTTACCAGAACGCCGTGAAGTGAAGATGCAAATGACTCCTGAAGAGTTACAAGTGCAGTTGGACTTGCTGGAGACGCAACAACTCGGCCTCGAAAGGCAGGGCGTGCTTATAGAACAAATGATACGCGACAAGTGTGAGGGTAAATTACGTTTATGCACTTTTACACACTAATTCCAGCATGCACGTGCACAACAAATACCTTTAATATGCTTTTATTTAAACCTCCTTAATCATAAACGCAGAAACCGTATGTTCAAATCGCGGTTGTGCACAAATAGACGTTTTCCATGTTTGCATTTAAAACTTAATCGTAAAATGGTCACAAAAAATGTATCTAATGCCAGATACAGACCAAATAATTCCAAAATTTTGATTAGTTCAACTTTTGTCCCTCGTGAGTATAAAAAAAAACGTGTGGCACTCGGGGACTGCCGCGGTAAAGCTTATTGCATAGCATTTTTTTATCAACTTATGCAGTTATAATTATTTATTTATGCAGTATTTGTTTTTATTTGATATTAATTCAAGTTTTTTCTTTGATATTATTTCAATCTACCACTCTACCAGACTCAGACTAAAACGACTATATAGTCTGTCTCACTCTAACGCGTAACGCGTCACTGATCTCGTCAGAGAGATGGGAATGCGCAGTATGCGTTCTGTCCCACTCTAACGCGAATTTGCCGCACCTATATTACGTCATCGTGTGTAACTTAATAACTTAAAAATAATTTAATTCTGGGCCTGCGTCCTTACTCTGTATCCTTATATAGAAATCCCGACGTTTATGTATGCAAGTTTGATGAAGTTCTCTCCTTATTCGTGTATCCTTGGGATCACGCAGAACAAAAACAATTATTATGGCGATTGGAATCGCTGTTAAAACCTACAGAGTAATCTCTGTACGAGTAGTTATCCTTACTATAGATTCTATAGTATAGAACATAGACTATGTTCCCATAGTGTTTAAATGTGGTAACAAAATACGGTACTATCGGTATTTCATAATTTATACCGATTAACGTTTCGAGAATTTATAGAATAAATATACAGTTTGTTGGATAAAGTTAGCTAAGAAGTGAGAATTTTAAATAATTGTTTTCAGGTGACGAAGGTGTTACAGCGCCGCAAGAAGAAATAGAGGACTTGGTTATACAGCTGTGTGAGCTGGTCAATGAGAAGAATGACTTGTTTAGGAAACAAACAGAACTTATGTATATGTAAGTGATTTTATGAACAAACAGCGGAGCGAAGATTAATTGGTTGTGTAATAACCGCAGTGCTGATGTCTCAAATCAAGGATCTGCGATATTAAAACTCGATATTGATTGATTTATTGCTAGGATCATTATCAGATAGTATACAAATATATTAATCTAGGAATAAAACTTATCGAATCTACAATATTAATTTAATTTCTGTGAACGCTAGTATCACAGACTACATATTTATGATTATACAAAAATTAAATTAAATTTGTATAGTATTTAGCCCAAAGCCGACTAGGGAGAGAATTTACGAATGTTGAATTATTTAAAGACAATCAGATTATTACACAAAATACCTTGTATATCATATCAATAATGCCATATTTCAGTCGTAGACAACAAAGACTGGAGCAGGAGCAAGCAGACATTGAACATGAGATTCGAGTGATTCAGTCGAGACCAGTCGTCAACAGGATTGATGCTGATAAAGTAAATTATTTTCTATAGTCTATAATGTAGGGCTTTTTTTATTTATCTGTGGTCGCGTCCGTTTGGCGGTATTGCATTGATCTTTTATTTGTTAGGTCAAATAAATTAGTGTATGCAAATGCTTATAACTGCCTACTTTGTTGTTTGTAAGCTTTATTGTTTTTTTAATGTATCATATTATAAGGCATTGCACGCCTCTAGGAAATAATGTGAACAATAACGGGACTGCTTTGAACAATTATTAAATAATACGGCACAATATATACGGGTTATTAGAAAAGTGAGGCTTGATCCGACTCACGGAAATTCCATTGGTAACATTTTCTTTTACTTTAGCTGATAAAACGGAAATATAATCGTCTCATCTTTATAAAATTATAAATATGCGATGTTTTTTCATGTTTTAGAGACGGACACATAATGAATTAACCCAGGTTTAAGCGGGTAAACTATACTTTTATAAACTTGAGAAAAACCATACAAGCCACACAGAATCTGTTTCAAAGCAAATTAATTGTTTGTTGAAAAATATACTGAACTAGGGTTTAAATATGTCTTGAACACACTAAATTCGTTTTAATAGATCCATCAATGAGATTTATAACGGATAAAATGAGGTACATAATGTACCTAAAACTAATCAAATAATGGTCACAGGTGACTTCTTATCGCTTGGTTAACGTTACTTCTATTGAAGACAAAACAAAAATTGTTTGATTGTGGTTGATCACTTTAAAACATCTGAAAACGTTTAGGCGGTTTTTTAATACCAATAATTCAAAATAGGCCCGCGAAGAACAGCTAGTCTGTCGTCTGGTGGAAATAGTGCGCATGCGAGACGAGTTAGTGCAGCAAGTAGACGCTGAGAGAAGACGCGAGAGGCAAGAGGACCGTGCCATTGCCGCCTCCATAGCTGCTAAACGAGGTATGCATCAATACATTTATGTAATAAAACCAGATTTAAATATTTTACATAGTATTAAATCCAGTACGACTTAAACCTAATATTTGGGATAAATATATAAATAAATCAGAAAAAATTAACAGACTACATTGGGGATTCAATTCGTATTTTAATTAAAATCTAATACTATAAATACGAAACTAAATAGATATACAGCCGGCGTACACGCCGTATGCGCTAAAATTTTATAACTATGTACTGATTGTAACAACCTAAAATATTTGGCGACACATAGTTTCAGTGGATCTGTCTCTATCTCACTTTAATTTAAAATGCATTTAACTCGGACCCTAGGTTCACTTACTGTTTCAATTTGAATAAATTATAGCCACATATAATGTCGCAATAAAGAAAAAGATTTCAGAAAATAGTCTAACATGCGACCTTGACCAAGAGTTTCAGAATTACTTCCTTGGACTATAAAAATATGGAATTTTAATTTATTATATAATTTCTGAAATGGCTTTTTTATGTTTCAGCACAAAGAAATAGTGACTCCACAAGCTCGTCGATCAAATCGTCAGATGTTGTGACACCGATCAAGAAAAACAAAGTAAAAGACAAAGTAAAGAAGCAATTTAAAAAAGCGAAACATACGCTTATTGCTAAGAAAAAAGACGAAGACAAAAAACCAAAATGACTCAGATCTTTATATATTATATTAAAAGGTACTTAATAATAGACTGATATTCAAAGACATTCCATGTTATGTTTACTTTACACTATTATAGTTATAAAAATTTGTTACTCATATAATTGAAATTATTGCCATAACATGTAGAGTATATGTTTGATATTATTTCTTTTCAGTCTTCTTTTATTTTAAGTTGATATATGTTACTTCTTACAAGTTTAGTACAGGCAGTCCTCGTACTAACGGCATGTTAGGTTCACGAAATACGCGACGTAAATCGAAACGACGCAAGACGAGTCATATTTTTTCGTATGTTTACATGTAAAACTCAAGGTCGACACGGACTCGACTTTAAAAAAAACTGCATTTATAACAAAGGATATACATAGGATATGTATTTATGAAATTTTAATAATAATGATAAAACTTTAATATGTAATGAGAAATAATAAATTAAACTTTTGGCTTAAATAAACTATCAATTCTAGATTGCTTCGCTTCTTTCTTCTTGCTATCATACAGATCTTGGTAACACTGATAGGCTGCACAAATTTTGTTATTAACGTTGAAACTTCTCTCAAAATTAGGATCATTTCCTTCAAAAATTTTCATGGCATTCTCCAAATTTGCACAAGACAAGTGAATTCTCCTATGCCGGAAATCGAAACAAATGACGTATGCTTGAGGAATAGTGGCAAAACATTGTTCCCCGTAACTTGAAAGGACGTAAGTCGAGGACTGCCTGTACACACAATTGTGGTTAAATACCTAACAAATCGGGATTTGTTTAAGACAAAACAAATGCACATGGGTACTACGAATTTTAATTTTGCAAGGATATTGATACACGCCAAGGCAAACTTAGCGGATTAAATTGTATGTAACGATGCGCACAAATCAATTTAATGTACGGTCGATCCTACCTTTTATATATTCTTTACTGTACGTGTCCGTTTTCCATTGCAATATCCGTATTTAATGTGGAATGCTGTAGTGTCTTAAGGATACGCGCCCTTAAACTTTATAGATTTTACAAATTGTTATATTTATTTACGTATACACTAAATGTTACCGAATTATTTTTGAATCTCAACCAACCTTATGTCGTACTTGGATATACATATGGGACTATAATATTATGTATTAGAAGAGTCTATCAGCCATATTATATTTTTCTTATTTGATAGTCTATTTAGTGAGAGACTGCCTTCTAATATAATTTATACACACAAGTTCCAATAAAAGCACAGATTAATTAAGACCTTGCTAACTTATATATCCCTGATTTGCTTGTCTTGATTATACAATTAAAAAGCTTATTAAGAGATTAGCTTTAGTTTCACCCTTTGACCTCATTACTTGGAAAACATAGTCTTGACTGTACTAAATTGGAGTAACGAGGATATAGAACAAGGCTTGTTGAGAATAAACTCAACTTTTATTTTGCTTATTGAGGCAGCTAGCTTATAAATTGCAAGAAATAGAATAAATTGACCAGGTGTTATTATATTATGCAAAAAGTTCATTTTTTGAGTAAAATTATTTAAAAGCTAAATTGTCATAAAAGGACCATAAGATTATATTTAGATAAAAAAAAAATTAACGTCATTTATTAAAAAAATACTTTTTAGTATTAGTGAAACAAGGTTAAAGAATAAATTGGAATTGTTTATGGGTAAATTTTTTGAATACTTATTATATCAATTTATTGTCACAGGGTGAAAACATATAAAGGCATCATCAGAACAACAATATTTTAATTGCTTAATTTATTAACAAATATACTAACACATTAACATATTATTAAGAGCACATACATGTCGTAAACATGCACAAAAAATATTATGAAAAATAAAAGATTACACACTGTTATAACATTTTATTTCTTTTATATATAGTTATTTCCTAATTCAACAAATTGTTCTATCTGGTAAAAAAAACATCTTAAATTTTAATTTATTTAGCATAATTATTATCAATTTCAATTCTTAGATTTGATTTTGGCTTACCAAGACGTTCTCTTAAATCATCAGACTTATTATGTTTCTTTGTTTTTATAATTTGACGTAAATCGGTTTTCTTACTAGACTGTTCAAATTGTCTATCTAATCTAGACCAGACTGTAGTGGATTCTTTATTACGGCTGTCAACTTTTTGCACCTTACTCATTGTATTGTAACTATCAAAATCTGAATCTGAACAGCTGTCACTGTTACATTGATCATTTGGAACAACTTTGACACCGAGACGTGATTGTATATTTTTGCTTCTATGACCTTTCTTAAACATATTTGATAAAATGTGAGATGAAGATGACCTTTTTGCAATAGAATTTCTGGAATTTAACACCTCAATGGACAAGGGTGCATACTCTTCTTTGTCACTTGAATTATTTTGTTCCATGGGAGTAATTTTCTTAATTTTTGATTCTTCATCATCAGCTCTCATTCTCATTCTAGGCACTTTTGATTTCTTATTCCATTCTGCATCTGAATCACTAGATTCATCAAACTGTTGAACTTGGTTTCGATTTCCCAGTCTCATTGCAAGATTTTTATTTCTTGGTTTGATAATTTTCCTAGGTTCTACATCATCATCATTATAATCAGGTGTGTGTGGTAGTTTACGTTGAAACACTTCCTGGTGATCATATACCCCCCATGACATACAAAGATCACCCCATGGATTTTTGTCATTTAAATCAATGTGCTTCTTTTGTTTAGGATGTACTGAATCATGGTTTCTTTTTGCCATCTTTTTGTCTGCATTTGTTGCAAATCTCATTAAAATAACATCTCTTTTTGGATGTGGCATACCTTCTCGCCAATGATATGAAGATCTTTCTGATAACATTTCTTTTAAACTATCATCACTAATTTCATGTGAGTGAACAAGTAAAGCTAACGCTGCTGCAATATGGTCCTGGCATACCATGTTACCTGTCATACAAGAACATTATACAATATAATAATTATAATCACAATATTAAACTACTTTGTCAAGTAGTCAATCACAATGTTAAAGACTAATAATAACTTACATTGACAAGACACAAATTGCTTATAACTTATAAACAAACAACAAAATCTTTGGTAAAGATGTGGAGGGGAGGTACCTCATTTGGGGGTGGGGGGGGGGGGGGGGGGGGGGTTTTTCCCCCCCCCTTTTTTTGTTTTGTTTCAAAAAAAAAAAAAATTTTTTTTTTTTTTTTTTTTTTTTTTTTTTTTTTTTTAAAAAAAAAATTTTTTTTTTTTTTTTTTTTTTTTTTTTTCATTTTAAAAAAATGATAATTTTCCAAAAATTATTCCACATCACGTAAAAGGATATCAAAGGTTATGCTTTTTACAATAATTTGCCCATACTAGAACATCAATTTAACTAAAATCTAGTTTCTGTACAAGACATATATTTCAAACGTAAAAAAAAGCCAAGTTTAAAAAAATCTTAAAAAAAAAACCCACAAAAAAAAAGAATCATTATTTTAGTATTCATTTTAATCGATTTTAAATCGATTTTGTTGTCTTGAGTTTCAGTTGCCACCATTTCTTTGAATTAATGAAATGAATTTTGACATAGCTCTAGACAAGATATTTACTTGTGACAGCTCCGTCCTAAAAATGATTTTTTTTTCTAGCCCCGGGCTTTCCGGGGCCTTGGGGGCCTTCGGGGGCAAATTTTTTTTTTTTTTTCCTTCCCTTTCCTTTTTATTTTTTTTTTTTTTTTTTTTTTTTTTTTTTTTTTTTTTTTTTTTTTTTTTTTGTTTTTGGTTTTGGGGTTTTTGGTGGGGTTGGGGGGTTAAATTTATTTATTTTTTTTTTTTTATTTTTTTTTTTTAAATTTTTTTTTTTTTTTGGGTTTTTTTTTTTTTTTTTTTTTTTTTTTTTTTTGGTTGTGGGGTTTTGGGGGGGGTTGGGGTTTTGGGGAAAAAAAATTATATAAAAAATTAAAATAAAAAAAAAATAAAATTTTTTTTTTTGTGGGGAGAGGTGGGTTAAAAAAAAAAAGTGTTTTTTAAAAATTGGGTTGTGGGGGGGTGGTGGGGGGGGGAAAAAAAAAAAAATATGATTTAGAATAAGAACTAATATAATTGTTTTTTCAAGCCTGGGCTTAATAGGGTCTTGGTTGTCTTTCCGGCCAAAATTTCCTCTGCCTCCCCCTCCCCCCCCCCTAAAAAAAAAAAATTTGAATATACTTACAAGAACTACTATCAACCCATTCCAAATAATACATGTTTGTAATCTTCTAAGTATTCAAAAACATCTTGTCGTTAACAGCTCCATCTAATTCCAATTCAGTGTGTCAAGCCTCAGCTTCTCGCATAATGTCTTTCATTTTCTTCTAATACCAATGTTGTATTAAAGCTCGCTTATCGATTTGCCTTTTGGAAAGTTACAAATTCTAAGCTTTCCACTTAAATTCAGTCCAAATGCGCTTTGCCCTTTCTAGAACAATTTTAACTAGAATCTTTTTATGCAACTGTTTGATTATCGGCTCCTGTCTTGACTGCAGCCATATAAAGCTGAAACATGCAATCTAAATATTATATGACTTAAAGCCTAAGTAATTTAAAATAACACTGAAACTGGAATTTGTAATTGTTTATTCAAGCCTCGGCTTCCCGGGCGTGGTGGCCTCCGGCGCCAAACAATTTTTTTCCCCCCCCCCCCCCCCCCCCCCTTTTATTAAATTTTTTTTTTGCCCCCCCCCCCCTTTTTTTTTATTTTTTTTTTCCCCCCCCCCCCGGCGGCGCCGGCCCCCCCCCCCCCCCAAATTATTCATATACCAACTCTAACCTAACCAATCTAAATAATTTTTTTTTTTTTAAAGCCCCCTTCAAAATAAAGTACCATTCTTGGATTGAATTTCGGGTTTTGATCTCTTTCTCGATATCCAATTTCATTGTTCGTCAAGCTCATTTCGGGGACCATCTTCTTTTTTAAATCAAATATCCATAGTACTTAAATTAGTTTAATATGGAGATTATAAATTAGATTGTTTAGGTATTGGCAGGGTTTGAGTCAGCTTTAGAACTATTAACAAATGTAACGCAGAAGATATTATATTTTATTTAATTTAAAAACAACAAATGAGAAAATAATCGATCCATAAATCTACCGAAAATGTCACATCACTTATAACCAATAGAAAACGACAATGACACATCACTTATAACCAATAGAAATCGAGAATGTCACATCTCTTGACACCAATAGAAAAGTTTAGATAATGGCGGATTGTTTATAAATTTTTTAATCAATACACAAAAGTTAAAAATTTTTTAAAAATACTTTGACGCCTATCCGAAAGCTAAAATCACTTGGAGGTGTTCCAATCAAGGGTCCCCGAGACTCCTGCACAATCAGTATCATCAAATTCAGGTGCCTTTGACTCAAACCCAACAAAATCTTTTTCCAAAAGTTATTAAAGGATATCAAAGTTTACAATAATTTTAGGCCCATACTCTAGAACATCAATTTAACTAAAATCTAGTTTCAGAATCTGTCTGTCATACCATTTCTTCTGAATGAATGAAATGAAGTTTGACATAGCTCTAGACAAGATAGTTACTTGTGATATGATTTAGAATAAGAACAATATAATTGTAATATACTTACAAGAAGTACTATCAACCCATTCCAAAGAAACAGGTTTGTAATCTTCTAAGTATTCAAAAACATCTTTAGTCGTTAAGCCATCTATTCCAGTAATATGCAGTGTGTCAAGCCTATAATGTCTTTCTTTTTCTTCAATACCAATGTTGGAATAAAGCTCATCGATTTGCTTTTGAGTTACAATTCTATTTCCACTTAAATTCAGTCCAAAGCGCTTTGCCCTTTCTTCCAATTTTATAGAATCTATTTTATGCAACTGTTTGATTATCGGCCCTGTCTTATCAGCCATATAAAGCTGAAACATGCAATATATTATATGATTAAAGCGAAGTAATATGTAAAATAACACTGAAACTGGAATTTGTAATTGCAAATTATATATACCAAAGTACATTCTTCGGATTGAATTTCGGGTTTTTGATCTCTTTCCTCGATATCCATTTCATTGTCGTCACTCATTTCACCATCTTCTTTATCAAAATCCATAGTACTCTAAATTATAATATGGAGATTTATAAATTAGGATTGTTTAGGTATTGGCAGGGTTTGAGTCAGTTTAGTATACAAATGTATCGCAGAAGATATTATATTTTATATAATTAAAAACAAAATGAGCTCATAAGTTTTTTTTTTTTTTGGAGTTTATGGCCTGGTATCTAGACCTTTAGGCCATGAGCTCATAAGTCACAAACGAATAATATAGAACTTCTACACTCTACAGTCTACTGAATACACCACAAGGCACAGACTCAATACTCGTCAACTATGACGTCACGACTACATCAAGCAATATACGGCAACGGCAACAAGCATCAATACTGCGCAATACAATATTGAGCGATATGGTGCAACTTCATCAACTAGGCAATACTGTCCTACACGAGCATTTCAGTATTCGCTCGCTATGGACGACATTCTTCTTCCTGCGGCGGCTTGTAGCGCTTTTTTCATTATTAATCAAAAACAAAAAAGATAAAAAAGGAATAGGCGTATCTGGGTGCGATCGTTTTTGGCCGCAATTTTCATTGTGTAAATAATTAGATGATATATTATTCAAAAACTTTACTAGAATGTCACGAACAGACTGAATTACTTTTGAATAAAGTAATTAGAAATTATTATTATTTAGACCTCTCGCTCTCCCCGCGGAAGCAAGACGGCAAGCCGCAAAACAAACAAGTGCGAATGAGATATATACAAAAATTGCTAGGAATTTCCAAGTCCATTGGATATTCGTATCTGCGACATTGAGCGATATGAAATATCTGGAGCAATTAGAAGCAATATCGCCGAAATAATTTATTGAAATTGCTCCATTAATTGCTTCAGATCGGTCCATTCGTGTTGCCGAGCAATTATTGCCCTCGTGTAAGCGCACCTTTATTGGACATCCACAGTCCAGTGTCCACACTCTCGACGAGGTAGCACGAGGGCTGCGAGCGGGTGTCACCTAGTGTTGCCACTTTTTGTCGGTTTTTGGGGCGCGAGTCAATGGACACGAGCAGGCGAAACGATCGCTTCAACCACTTTGTTGTAAGTTACTGGCGCGCTCGTTTTCTTATCATGATGGAGTGGACTTGCTATTTGAGTGTGGCCTTTATAGAATTTTATTAATTCATAAAAAATATCATTGAAACAGAACTTAAAAACTATAATAATATAATCGTGACAGGTTTAATAGTATTATGGTTATTATTGCCCATAAAACTATTCATGTCAACAACAACCTGTCATGGTCGTAGCAGGTAGAACACTTGATTGCATGTAGCAATACAAGTACCTACTTAGGAGCATGGGTAAATGAAACATGGGATTCTGATAAAGCCAAATACGAAATGGCCCGGGCTTCTAAACTAAAATAAGTACTATGTTGTCGCAACATGAGTATAACTTTTAGGGTTCGACATCCACTGTTACATCTGTCCAGTAGCATTATATGGCTGTGAGGCATAGACTTTTGAGATGACGTGGTGTTACCATCGCTTGCTTTGCATCAGTTGGATCCAGAGAGTGACGAATAAAAGAGTTCTTCAACGAATCGGGACTACACGAATGTTTATGCAGACTGTTAAAATGCGGAAAAAATAAGTCGCATGTCTCGGACATGTTTTGCTTCATCACCGCTACAGCTTGTTGTAGCTAATATTAATGGGTAAAATTCAAGACAAGAGACGGGTGCTAGAAGGAGAGAGAAGAAGTAGACTGGAAATCAATTCGATCTTTACTTTGTACAGCCATAAATTGCACTCCACATGAAAGAATGTTTAGACACCCAAGACGATCTACTAACGGCACTTCTGTTCCATCGTAGCTTATTAAATTGAAATAAGACAAAACCTTTAAAGAATATAAGGTTTTAATAAGCTAAATTAACAGTAAAATATTTTGGTTACATATTTTGATACATTGACAAAAAAAGACACTAACAAAACAGATTGACAATGACATCAGTTTATGGTTAATAGTTTCATGTAAGAAGTTTACATCACATCACATCCGCCAAGGATTTTTTTATTCTTATAAAAATATTCCCGGAAGAAGAAAAAAACTTTAAAACGTCATTAATGCCGACTTTTAGAGGACACCTGAGAAATAAAAATCTTAAATTAAATTATACTTATACCGGCATGATATTGTAGCGTTTGTGTAGTATTTTCTATAATATTTTGATGTATGTGGCAAAATAAATACTGGTCGTTAAAGTGCCCTGTAAACCAGAGTTCCCCAAACTTTTTTGTGTCGGGACTACGACTAAGATGGACTTTGTTTTAATCAAATTTAAACTGTCGCCTTATAATTGCAAATTAACCATATTAAATTTTGTAAACAAATCTGTTAAATAGGCGATGTCTGTTTTCCTCTATCAGTGTATGTGTTGAGATCCACTATCGTGGACCCCCATTTTCATTTCATGGACCCCCAAATTCGTTTTTGCAGGTTGTCATAGACCACTAGGGGTCGATATAGACCACTTTGGGAATCACTGCTGTAAACGATCAAATTGTTTGTCAAATTTGTTTGTCAAACTTCACGTTTTCATCAAACAATAGCTTAAACGATCAAACCAAATATCAATCAAATTTGTTAAATTTCTAGTAGATTCTGGTTTCTCCTTTCGTGACGTGACGTCGCCGTGCCGAGCACGAGTAATTCAGATGACGCATTTTTGGCATTGACTCTAGCACTGTGTATCAAGACAAAATGTAGGGAGCCCACGATGCTAAATGGGGATTTACTCGAGCGTCGTAGAGACCTATTGGGATACAAAGCTTAGATAAAAAGAAGAAAAAAATGTTATATGATAAATTCCTTTTCATCGGTGGGGGAGGCGGCTATAGATAGTTAAATATGTAAAAAAAACTGTTGCATGGACATCCTCGAGCGCTCAGATATTGATAGATCTATGCCCTACGTATTTTTAATAATGTACGTATGTTAATCTGATCGTTTGCATGATGCGGGTGGTTGTATTTAAGGGTTGAAAATTAAAAAAAAAAAAATTTCGAGGTAAATTTTCTAAGGGAGTGTTAAGTGACCAAAAAACTCATTCACTAATCTGACGATTTCGATGGGACGCAAACCCACAGCCATTTTCTTAATTTGCAAAAAAACGCATCATTTCGAAATACTCAAGCGCGTCAGATTAAGATATATGTGGTTCATCTTTATGTTCTAAACGTACTGTCTTCATAATCTGACGATTATCTAGAGGGATTCGCCTGATCTGACAAAAAAAATAGAAAAACGGTTCACCTAAAGGGCCATCCTCTGCAACTTCCCGCTAATTCCATTCCTGGGCGCTTAAAATTGATATTTTGAGCTCGCTGAGTTCAAAGAAATAACATTTCTATGCATTTGAGCTCTCCCAGCTCGAAAGTCTGATAGAAGTTTCATAGAACACTATTTTGGAATTTTCAAACCGCAATAACTTTTGAATGGATCAAGCAATTTTCACGCGGTTGGCGGCATTCGACGCAGTTTTATCATTCTCATAAGTAATTTTGCAATTTTAATTGATCGAACCAAAAATTTCGGGGAAACCCCAAAAACACTTTTTGGGTTTTTCCCTTTCGCATGTACGATATCTCCTCGAACGAATCAACCGCTTTTGACCAGCTTGGTGGCGATCGACGTGGTTTTTAAGCCTCAAAGGCGGATTAGTTTTTGAAGTTGATCGATAAAGAAACCACTTAAAAAAAAAATATTTCTTATTTTTTTAAGATTTTTCAAAATTTCTCAAAATCTATCGGTCCGAATCGGTTCAAATTCACAGGAAATGTAATTTTGAGGTTTTGCGAAATATTTTGAACGCCGTTTAGTAGATTCCGATCGGTTTAAGGAAATGTAGGCATCACGCAGCTGCACGCATTTAACTTTATCGACGAATTTTTGTTATTTCGGCTTGCGGAAATCGTCAGATTATATATTTTTCATTATTCTGGAATTATTTCCTTCAAAATAAAAGAAAAATTAGCTACGCTCGAGAATGTCGAGATGACGTTTTTTTTTACAACTTTGTTGCCCTCCCTTTTTTCCGTCACTCTCCAAATTGTCAGATTAGTGGAATATACACTCACTTTTAGGATGTAATTAACTCACCCTACCTTAATCTGACGCGCTCGGGAATTTCTGATGGTCAATTTTTTTTACTAATCTGATCCTGTCTCCTTCACGCGCGGCCTTATATATGGGCCTCATATTTTGGGGAGGTACATTTTAACCGTGTACAAGGTATCCCCTATATAGTAATCTGCCGCGCTTTAGCTAAATCCCGAAATCCCCTCCTCTGGGCTCCCTACCAAAAAAAAGAAGACGATGAGTCGAGAGTGGTTGAAATTAAGAAAAAAATAAACAACGAGAATTTGCTACGGGAAATATTGCGTACAGAACCTGAAGACTACGCAAACTTCCTGCGCATGGACCATAAAACTTTTAAAGATTTACTGACTATACTTCGTCCTCGTATTGAAAAAAATAAAGTTCTTGTCCATATAATCTTTTGATTTTATTTTCCATAACATCGGCATATCACGATAAACAGATATGAAATGCAACGTAAATTCTTTGTTCGTAATATTGCCACTCATATCGTCACTGAGCGTAGCGTCCTCCACGATGTCAATACAACTAGTGAGATTTTCATCAAACACGACAAACACGTAGATTGTTTGGCAAACGCCTCAAACACAGCAGTACACTATCAAATAATTTGACAAACACGTAAAATTTGACAAACAATTTGATCGTTTACAGGGCACTTAAGAAAAGAAGAAAACTAACGTCACTCAGAACAGACTAGACGAGTGAGATATATGTATTTTTTCCATGAGCTTTTCTATAAGAATATAAATTAATTACTCTTGTTTTGTGAAGGATAAACCAATTAACAAAGTTAAATATGGGTTGTGATTTATTATAAGATAGAACATCCCATAATATGATATTTTTTATTTGTATTTGAATTTGTAATATAAACGCAGCCATCCCATCTTGTCGTAGATGTAGCGAAAAACTAAATAAAGCGAGAGTGAGATTCAAGCTACGTAAGTAAGAGAGTCTCACTCGTGGTGCCACCTCGACTTCGATACGCCAATAGTCGTTCCAATGGCCACGACGAGGTGCCTCGCGGGGATCCATTGGCGACTTTATAAAAATAACTATAGGTCTACCAGAATCTGATGGCAAAAAAATTTTTTAAAAATTAGCGATTTGCATATGGCAATAAAAGAAAAAATTCATCTGTCAAGTGAAATTTCGAGGAATTGTTTTTGGTTTGGCTTCAAATTTCTTTTAAAAAGTGATGAAAATGTCGAAGAAACCTCTTCGACCGCAAGCAAGACATATTGTTTTCAATGTTTATCAAAGAATACTTGGTCAACAAGATGCAGATCATACACAATCATCGATATTGAGCCACGTGCAAGCGTTGACTGGTTAGTAGGAATGACACGTCTTGATACTTTGGTTTATGGGATTTTTCGTGTGTATTATATTATGTACTTATACTAAACTTAGGTTTATTTCAGGGGTTTCTTATACTACAAATAAACTTGGATAGTTTTGATTTAGAATTGATCAGAAACAAGATAAATGAGTTGTACACTGTTTCTTTCTCTCAAATAGGGATCGATGAATGGTGAAAATATTGTGAACATGTAATAAAAATTTAAAATCAATTCATAGAACAAGATCGGTTAATTGAGATGCAGGAGGAAAGGTTTATTATAAATACGGCGTTGAAGACTTTTTTATGGATGTGCAGTATTTGGAACCATTTTCAAGTTCTTAATTAATTAATAAACTCATGAACAGAGTAATTGGAGTTTTCATCTAAATTTCAAACCCACATTCGCCACATTTTCAAAAATTATCCTTGTTCATTGGATACATTTTTATATTTGCATGTATCAGCCGCTATAAGGAAAAAAAAGTATCAAAACGTTTTACTCCAATTTCCCCAGTATTGCTAGCGTCAATTTCTTTTTTCCCTTTTTGCCATCAGATCCTGGTAGACCTATATTATTTCATAGCATATGTATATTACTAATTCTGTGAAGTGTGATATCATTTTAGTATACTCTTTGGCGCCGCGCTATCGATGTTCGGCCAGTGATGCCAACTTTGGGGATCTATTCCCAAATTTAGGGGGAAAAAATGTCATGGGGGGGTTTAGGGGGTATTTAGAAATCGCACTATTCTATACAGTTTATATTAACCTAACCTAACCCAACCCAACCAACAAACCAAACCAAATATAAACTCCAATATAAAAGCGTGACTATAACTAAAATATCAAAAGTTATTATACTCCAAGATCGAAGATTTATACTACTTGAATGTATTTTCATGCATATTTGAAATAACCAAACCGAGTGTACAACAAAAAAAAAATTTTGTACAAGGGTTTTTAATCGATATTAAGGGGTATTTGAAATTGGTCCTAGGAGGAATATTGTGCAGGAGTTGGCATCACTGTGTTCGACACGACAATCGACATCCCATTTCCCAATTGATCAGAATCCAATATCTATCAAATATATTAAAGCTAAACAGACAATAAACGAAGTAACGCGAATCAACAAATTCTGATTTGACACTCCTTTTATTGTGGTTCAACATTCTTATTATATCCTTGATTATTTTCTAAAACATGGCGTCCTACGTGGACATGAGCTTAGATGATATTATTCAGAAAAAAAAACGCGGCAGTCCTAAGTATGTTAAGTACATAATATGAACTTTAACGCTGTATATTATTTCTCTTAACAACTTGTTTTTTTTACTTAGAAAATTTGTACCAAAGAGACTAGTAGGACCTGTGCGGAGGCCAGCAGTTTTAGATGCCAGAAATAAAATACTTTCTAAAAAAAGAACTCAAATAAAGGATGCCAGGGAAAAATTAATAGAAATTGCTCAACAGAAGGATGCACGTTTAAAGTTGCAACAATTACGAGCAAAAAAGGTAAATTACCTACAAATCATCAAAGTTGAATATTTTATATCAATATAAGGATAACATAGTTATAGGGTACTATTTGCAGTATTTATCCTTTGTTTTTTATAGGGCATAACTACATCAACAGCATCAAACTCAAATAGCAAAAAATATAAAAGACTGAATCTCCAGTCAGAAAGAGGTAAGATCATATTTTGTTATTGCTGTCAAATTTTTTATACAGAAAATTTAATTAGATTAATCTGTTTGCAGTATTTTCTGACCCATCTAGGTTAGTTGTTTCTCAACCTTTGCAAACAAGACAGAGGCAAACCAAACAAAAACGATTTATGGAAGAGAGACTTGTTGCACCAAAATCGCATTGTAAGGTTAAATTAATAATTGATAAATTAATAATGTGTTTATAATTAATTCTGACTTTAACCTTTTTTTTTTAGTAAAACTTCCATTGAAACCTATAGTTCGAACAATTGAAAATGATCTTGAAATCATAGATGATCCTATGGGGGATGACTATGGACCTACTACAGCAATACTTGCTAATCGAAAAACAAGTTTACAACTGAAAATTGTAACACACAACAATGATAACCAAAGGTACATGTGAAAGAACACCTAGTAAACATATAAGTTTAAAAAAAATTGAAATTGCTGTTTTGTTCTTTAATTAGATTTTAAAAGATTGTAAGTTTTTTTCTGTTGTATCATTAGTCTCTCTTGAGAACTTACTCTTAAACAGCTTACTAAATATCTTGTTTTAAAATTTCCACAATTATAATAAATAATAACATTTCTATAGAATGATGGTTAGAACAAGGGAAAAAAGTCCACCAAGACCACCATCTATACTTAAAAAGAGACCAATGGCTGCTTTAAAAATTGGTAAAAAAGAACAGGAAGTTGAAAAACCGTTGCTAGAGTACCGCATAATTGTTAGTAATTTAAGAGATACTGTGACAGGGGCAGATATCAAGGTAAGACAAAAATAATTATTATTTAAAAATTTAATAAATAGTTTTTATAATGGATTATATAATAACTTATTGTTATTACATAATCCAATATTAAAAATTTATATACAATAAAAGTATTTAGTCATACTTACATATTAAGCACTACCTTTTCAGGAGTTATTTGGAGATGTGGGTGGAATGCTAGAGTCTCGATTGGTCAGACCTGGTACAGCAGAAGTGATTTACAAGACTGTTGAAGATGCACAAAGAGCTGTTGATTTGTATCATACCAGACAGTTAGATGGACAACCAATGAATTGCCTTCTTGTCACCCCACGTGCCTCCAACAACTTGGCAAAGTATGATATTATCCTTTATTGATCACTCTGGATTTAAAAGTAAGATCTCTAATTTGTGTGAAGTCCTGTGACCCTCTCTTGTAATATATTACATAATAATCTAATAATTATATATAGAGATAAATTTTTCATAACAAGTAACCTTACTCCTTATAAATTATAATAAATGTACTTAATTCAGAAAAGGAGAAATTAAAGGAAGTAAAATGTATAATCATTTTATTACCTAGTATATTTACATATTGTATTGTATGTTCTAGGAGCAGCTCCAAACCAGCACTAGTCAGCAGCAATTCTAATGTGGAACCCGATATTTCAACATTTCACAAAGTGCTCTTTAGTAATTTTTAACCTTAACTGAAACTATTAATATGTTAAATAATATTACAGCATTTGAAAGCTTTGCTAATTGTGTACAGATTTCAGTTTTAAGTTCAATAAAGAATGGCATGAATCATGAGTTGACCTGTATTTATAGATCTTATTTGTAAATACTAGGTTTTTTAGCATGAAAAATCGATTAATAACTTATCGATTTTTCTTTAAAAAAAAATTGATTATTTTATTAATCGACTATTTCCTAATTTTTGCATTCATTTCAAATAAACACCTTAAATATTTTATTTTTCTTGGTTTTATTAATTAAAAATGAACAATAGAAATTATAAACACAAGTTAACGTTTAAAGGTGCGCTTACACGGGCAACTAAAATTGCTCAATTCCAGTCAATACTCGTCAACTATGACGTCACGACTACATCAAGCAATTTACGGCAACGGCAACAAGCATCAATACTGCGCAATACAATATTGAGCGATATGGCGCAACTTCATCAACTAGGCAATACTGTCCTACACGAGCATTTCAGTATTCGCTCGCTATGGACGACATAGTTCTTGCTGCTGCGGCTTATAGCGATTTTTTTTATAATTAATCAAAAACGAAAAAGAAAGAAAAGGAATAGGCGTATCTGGGTGCGATCGTTTTTGGCAGAGGCCGCAATTTTCATTGTGTAAAGAATTAGGTGATAAACAGCCTTTGAATTACTTTTGAATAAAGTAATTAGAAATTATTATTATTTAGACCTCTCGCTCTCCCCGCGGAAGCAAGACGGCAAGCCGAAAAACAAACAAGTGCGAATGAGATATATACAAAAATTGCTAGGAATTTCCAAGTCCATCGGATATTCGTATCTGTGACATTGAGCGAAATGAAATATCAGGAGCAATTAAGGCTATGTTCACATGTAACGCGCGTTAACGCGCGATCAAATTTGAAGAGCGTTCAGATGATGAGCGCTAACGCGCGTTGCGAGAGTACTCGTCAGTCTAGTTCGGTAGAACGTAGAAAATGGACGTGGAAGAGGCTATTATTTTGTGGTTATATTATAAAGAAAAATATAGAAAAAGAAGACGTACACATTGGGTTTATCCAATTTTGAAAAAAAAATACAATTTATATTATATTTTTTATACAAATTTGCTATATTCCAACTTGCTGACCTTTTTTCTACTTCATCGATTAGTAAGTCGATGTCAATATCTTCAATTTCACTCATTTTAAAAGCGAGAACAAAATATAATTACGAAAATTAATAAAATTACATGCGATCGCGATGAAAGCGCGCGCTCATCTGAACAGCAAACGGACATTACATTAATATCAAAGCGCGCGTCAACGCGCGATCACCTGCGTCTAGAGACTTTTTCTCTGAGCGCCGCGTTGACGCGCGTACATGTGAACAGTTGTATGAAAAATACCATAATCTCTAGTCGCGCGATTTGAAAACGCGCGTCAAGTTTTTGCCATCTGAACATAGCCTTATTATATCGCCGAAATAATTTATTGAAATTGCTCCATTAATTGCTCCAGATCGGTCCATTCGTGTCGCCGAGCAATTATTGCCGTCGTGTAAGCGCACCTTAAGAATAATCAAAATCGAAATTAAACTAATCTCGTTTTGATAGATAAGCACATTGCAGTATTTTTGTTGTCTTTTTTATTGTATGTAACCTTGCGCTGCTGAATAAATTTATTTTACTTTTAAATTATAGTGTTCCATTCAAACTTGAGTTTTTGTAAAATTAACTGGTTTTATCACGCTTTCAATGTTTTATAAAAAAATATCAATGAATCAAGTATATCAATACATCTTCAAAGCATCGGATCTATTCAATGTATCGCATTGTAAACATCGATGTATATCGAATATCCCTAATAGTTCGAGGTCCGGGTTATAAAAAACCAGACAATGTCGGCAGACGGCAGATGAAAAATCGACTATGATTGATTTTCAATTATAAAAATAACCGATTGTTATACGTACATTACAAACGTAAAGTTTTGTATTTTAAAGTGTTTTATTTATCATTCATAATTACACAAGACGAACTTAAGCTCGACCCTGGAAAATATAATTTTACAACCATTCTACGTCATCGTCGATTCGAATTTCGAATAATGTTTGACCGTTTTGTTTCACTTGACTAACGTATGGAAAATAGAAATCAATATTTTAAATTATGATTTGAAATAAAATTGAATGTTGATTTTTCACACTGTCTAATAGACTGATATAGTTTTACCAAATAGATGACAATACATAACACCAAAGTCAATTAATGTAATAGACCAGCAATGTTGGTATACATATCGACGTAGGAAAGCATATTTGCTGTAAGTAGACAAAATACCCTAAAGACTTTTTCGCCGTTAGAATCAGAAAAAAAACCCCACCCAAAACCCCGGGCCCCTTTCTCCCCCAAAAAAAATTACATACGCCCCGTTGAAAACGCCCCGTACTTATATTATTTTTAGCAAGATTAAATGCTGTATGTAGACCAAAATCTAGTCATTTCAGACATTTTGCACTTACAGCAAAAGAAAATCTGCATTTTTTTCTTTACAAATACTTACTTCTTCCCATTTAAAAACTTAACGCTACTTACAGCATTTCAGCGGCGTGTGATTTTTACATTCGTTTACTTACAGCAAGTTTAGGGAACCTACAGTTTTGGTTTTTTTTTTACCATTTACGACATTTTATTTCAACCAAACATTACATTACCAAATGACCCACTGCATTTCTAGATCTAATCATAATTATAAACTAATCTTACATCTTGAATTGCAATTAAAAGTACCCAAATACATAAATTTCCTGCATACAGCATATTTACCGCCTGTAAATTGATAATATTTCCGCGCGTACATTTTTCTCCCCTTAGTTACCAGCGTTTTAAAGGTTTGTGATTTAAAAACTTTTGCTGTAATACAAACACGTACTTATAGTAACTTTGGATAAAATGTTTACATTGCAAATGGTGACTGGCAGTTAAATAAATATATGTTTCAAAAATGGTAGCAATATCATGGATAGGTCAGACACTATTAATTTTTTTCCGAAATTAATAAAGTTTTTTGGCTCTGGTGAACAATTGCAATATGTCTACTTACAGCAAATGTGCTTTCCTACGTCGATATATACTGTAAATTTAGTGAAAAAAATCCTTGATACGGTTTAGTATATGGAAATATTCAGATTCAATAATTGCGAATCATTGCTTATTATACTTATCAATAAATAATCATACCTTATTTCTCATGTTTAAAACATTAAATTTATCTTTAATTTTTATTAGAAGAAATTAAAACAAATCAGCTTATTTAGTGTCAGGCTATATCTACTAACGCTATGCTGCGAGGGAGTTGGGCGTAACCATAGTAACGTATGCGTCGACCAGGTATCTGAGTAGCCTTCCTTGAGATGTGAAGTAATTTGTTAATATATTATATCATATTTTTGTCTTGATATTCTTATTAAGTTAATGAATAATAACGATATAAATAGGAAGATCGATCGATATCTTTTGAAAGGCGAAAACTCATTCCTATTAAAGTATTAATAGTAATAACATATACCTATGTCACAGCCAACTAGCTTAATTAGCCGTTCAATTAAAAGTCTAGCCGTTTAACTAGAGGCCTGAAAGATGATCATCCAGTTAATTAAACAGCTAGGCAAATGACATGGGTCGATGACGTTTCATTACATGCCTAGCCTGTTGACTGTATATTTAAATTTAATACCACATTCTGTCACTCTCAAACTCAAAACAAAACTCTTCAAACTGTCAATATGGCGTCGGCAAACTACAACTTTGATGGTGTTTTCCAAATTTTCATGAAAAGCTCTATCGTACGAATGGCCTAAGCATTAGCCAGCCAGTTTATTAAATGTTGTAACAAACGCTATGGCTGAATATCTTTCAGGCCGTTTAGTTAAAAGGCTAGGCTATTAATTGAAGGGCTAATTAAGCTAGTTCACACCTATATAAATAATAAAATAAAATCTTATCTAATCAGCAATTATTTGAATATATTTTTAAAGATTGGGGCAAATGGACAAGAGGCTTATCTGATGTTAAGTGATGCCGTCACCCATGGACATTCACACTGCCAAAAGGCTCGCAAGTGAGTTGCTGGCATTTTAAGAATTGGTTCACACTTTTTTTGAAGGACCCTCAGTCGAATTCCTTCGGAAATACTTTAGTTGGCATTTTGGTTTACATTGACATAGTAGTAGTGCGCGGAAAAAATGCCTTAAAAAACGACTCAGTTGTGGAACGACGGACTTCGAAGTGATACGGGTGATAGTGATTCGGGTGGAGTTTCCTATTCTGCTTCGATGTCCAAGGATATTTAGCTCCAGGTATTAAACTGAACAACTCCAACGAACATTCTCTATTGTGAAAACGGAAGAAGATGCAGACGACACCTCTACTCAAGGAATCAAGCCCCTCAGAAAGTGCCTGGTCGTCGACGATTCGAATCGCTTTTCATTGTATACGGTCAAGTGGAAGGAGCGGCGGGATCCAGAGGTGAGAACAGTTCTTCATGTGGGGCCGAATTTGCGCTTTATTCAGTTGACCCGGAGTGAAGTATCAACTCACCTTGTTACGCTAATTTAGCCATGAGTTGACTTGTGTTTTTTTAGCGGTAAACTTGTGTCTTCTTGTGGTTAAATTGGACTAGATTAAGTCGACCACAGTCCGAGACTGTAATTATTTTTAATTTTTTTCATATATTTATTATTTAATATTATCATTTAATATTACCTGTGTATGTATTTACAAATATAGACTAAACTTTTTATTAATTAGATACCCTATATAGCCTACCTGTAGGCATCTAATTAATAATAGTGAAATTCCCAATATTTTAAAGTTAATAGTTGACGGTATACTCTGTACTATCAGACTTACGTACATACTATTATTATTCTACTACTCGTCTACATAATTTGTACAATATAATTAAAACCATAGTGCATAACTGCATACTTTATGAC